CGTGTTCGAAGCCCCCAACAAGACATCTCCCACAATACTCTCAATAATTCTAATGGGACTGGGTGAAACAGGCCACATGAAATTGTTTTAAACATCAGTCAGGAATCATAATGAGGGAGTCTGTTGATCCTCAAGATAAGAGCAATTTGTTCCTCCAGGTAGCAGAGTCCATTACTTGACACTCAAGTTATCTGATAACGACAATAAGCACTTATAACGGACTCTCCGTACTGCCTTTCGTCTTACTTTCCCTATAAAAGCAAACAAGTACATGTGTACGACAAAGTAATGTCAGAAACTGCTTCAAGTACCCATTGAGGAAGTTTGAATCAGAAGCTAGTGCAATAACAACACAAACTGAAAATTAACATCTTAAGGACAATGTCTGAGATACTACAGTGCACGTAACACACTATGGAGCGGCAGATGGTAGAAAACTCTGATGTGTGGTATTCAGTTATGTTGATTCGCTAGCGAGTTGTCTGTTTTAATACAAAGAAACCTGGGCAATTTGGTACCAAATACAAATCATGGTAACAAACCTCTTTATCGGCTGTCGCAACGTAACCATGACTAAGTTCAGAGGAATCTTAGCAGAGGTTCCCAGTTTTAATTTACACTGAATCGGGCGAGTGGTTGTTAAGTGGGCGAGTGGTTTAAGTAGCCTAAATGGTCGGAAAATGTGTGCCGGATGACGAGTAAAAAGTTGATTGCTAGTTGCTGCTACAGAGCGCATACCAAACACAGTGGTATTATCAACCAAGTTGTGAACATGAACAGTACAGTCGGGGTCAAAAGTTCGCTCCCGTCCAAAATAAAGCTGCGACGACCCCAAACGAGATGAAACAGTCAGGGTAAGTCAGTTCGGAGACTCATTTCCGTGACTCAGTTTCACTACGAGGGGCGAACAATTAAGAGAAGTGAAGGTGATAAAGGATACGGAGCTCCAAACTACCCGTTTGGAATATGGGGAACCACTTTCACTGATAGTGCAGTAGTTACAAAGATCGATTCGAACAATGTCCAGATTTGCTACATCCCTCTTTCCAAATGTTGAGCCAGTCAATGGCTAGCATACAATACTAGATCAGAAATCCGCGATGACCTACTGCAAAATCAACAAATAAAAGCACGCTCTATACACCAGAAATAATGTTTAAAAAGCAAGGCAGAAAATGACACTGGCAATGTACAAGCAATTATCCTCAACTAAGCTAGCAAGACGGGAGGGGTCATGGGTATTGCGAAAAGCAACATGCACTGATATGGATAAATAATTTAACCCTAAAACTCAATTTATAAATGTTAATTGGCGATGAAAAATAGTATCGGTATACTGTACAGTATATACTGAATATTACAAAAATTCAATTCACGCGAATATTTGACTAACGCCACATTTTTCTTTGAGGACATTAACATATACTGTATACCCTAAATGACTACAAATCTGGTGACAGCATGAAAATACGCTCATATGGTTATGTAGTGCCCCTACGAAGCATCACCATCTTATACAGTAGGTAGTCACCTACAAAAGTCCTGTCGCCTCTTGCTGTTCCACGAACCCCGAGCAGTAGTACTCTTGAAGTATTTCTGTCCATAAATGTTTCGTATTCAAGAGTCAATCTCGGGGTTCGTGGTTCAGGAGAAGAGACAGGACTTTGTGGGTGGCTGTACAGTCAGCCAAAGATGCACCGACCCCACCCTGGGTCACGTGCTCGCAATTCTACCTGGCAATATTTGGTAAAAGGCTGTATGTAAAGGTGATTGTGATTGGTGGATCTGTTTTCGGCTGTATCACTGTCAGGGTAAATATTCAATAAACCAAAGGTAACATTTTGATAATAAATTATTCATCATTATTTTAGATCCTGAGAAGTTTCCAAATGTTCGTATATTTGTTTAAATAATTAAGAAAATTTTATGTGAGAATCTTGTGGCAACTGTGGTTGGAGTTAAGTTGCCAAGTCATTAATATAATTTTCTTCATTATTTAAGCAAATATACGAAAATTTGGAAACTTCTCATGCACTTAATTAACAATGACTAGTTTTTTATTATAAAAATTCTACCTTTGGTTTGTTTAATAATTATCCTGACAGTGATGCAGTCGAAAACAGATCCATAAATCACTATCACCTTTACATACAGCCTTCCTTTACCATGTATTGCCAGGTAAAATTGCAAGCACAAGACCCAGGGTGGGGTCGATACATCTTTGGCTGACTGTACAATCAGGGTCAAAGTTCGTGGGGAGCAATGAAACAGTATCACGGGAATGAGTATCCGAACTTACATACCCTGACTGTCACCTGGTGCGGGTATGCTGTTTTATCTCATTTGGGATCGATGCTGCTTCACATGAACTTTTGGCCGACTGTACATAATCCCTCAATGACCATTTATGACCACACGAATTCAACCTACGAAACCTTCTCGAACGACCTTCAACAAATCTTTAGTTAGGTTAGTTTGTTTCATCAGTCGTCACTTAAGATTGAGCAGGCTGTCTCCCTCACGTGTCGTATGTTTACAAGTGACTTTGCAGACTGACATTAATTAAAGTTTATACTCTTTCCATGTTCTCATCAAATATGCTGTCGATAAATAACAAACCTATCCGTAAAACGCCACTAAAAACAAGGTGGATATACGTTCGCCACCGACAAACTCGAGACGCTAATCGTGTCGGATGGAGAAAAAAAATAGTGGAGAAAAAATAATTGAGTGAGTTTGATAAGCGATTTCAGTCTTGAGTGGCATCTTAGGATCTTAAATGTATTGGTTTAACCAGAGCACCGGTTAGTAAGCAGAGCAGAAGCGAAGAGGATAAAGAACTAGTTCTGCAGTTTGCCAAGAGTAACTTGATTAGGTTAGGTCAACCCATCACTCGCACACACACCTGATGCCACTCGAAGATAGGAATCACACCTCTTAACAGCCCAGCGCTCTTATACACATCTGTCCGACTGCAATACGAATACCCACTGCCTAAAATATGATTAGTGAGATCTAAATGTTTCAGTAGTTTATAACTTTGGGGTGCGCTATGTCCTACAGTAAAAGTGAACCAGGAAACTACAGGCCAGTCAGCCTAACTAGTGTAATCTGCAAATTATTGGAGTCAATATTACGGGAAGAGATGGTATCCCATATGAAAAAATATGGATTGTTTAGTAATAAACAGTTTGGCTTCATTTCCGGCAGGTCAACAGTCCTACAGTTGATTAGGGTACTAGACAGGTGGACGGAAATTATCGATGAGTCAGGCTGTGGACATAGTGTATTGTGACTTCATGAAGGCTTTTGATAGAGTACCCCACAAAAGACTACGGGCATTAGAAAAAGTATCCAGTTATCGCATTGGTGGAAAATATCTTGATTGGGTAAGGAATTTTTTAACTCAGAGAAAACAGAGGGTTGTGGTAAATGGAGAAGTATCTGACTGGAGAGAGGTCACTAGTGGGATCCCTCAGGGTTCTGTCCTCGGCCCCCTTCTGTTTGTCCTTTTTATCAATGACCTGCCTGAGGCAATTAAACACGACAGTGAGGTATATCTATATGCGGATGACACAAAGATTTTTAGGAAAATAGAAAGAGATGAGGATTGTGACATGCTGCAGGAGGACCTGAATGGGATCAGGGGTTGGACAGAGAAGTGGATGCTGAACTTTCACCCAGAAAAAAGTAAATACATGAGGATAGAAAGAACAAAAGTTGCTGACCATGGATATCATATTTACACCACGATCAAGAAGACCACTGTAGAGGACATAGGGGTAGTCATCGATGATAAGCTGACGTTCTCTGACCATCTAGCTGAGAAAATCAACATGGCTAATAAAATAGTGGGCATTATTAGAAGAACTATTGTTTATCTGGATGCACCTATATTCAAGGTTCTGTACACTACTCTGGTTAGGCCACACCTTGAGTATGCTAATCAAATTTGGTGCCCTATTCTCATTAAGGATATTGAAGCAGTAGAGAATGTACAGAGGGCTACCAAATTTGTGCCACAGATCAAGAATTATCTTATGAGGAAAGACTAAGGAAATTACAGTTACCGACACTGGCGTACAGAAGATCTCGTGGGGACCAAGTGGAAACATACAAGATAGTGTGTGGCATATATGACCAGGCATGTACAGCAGGAATGTTCCAGATGAGGGAGGCTGACACTACCCGGGGGAACACTAAGAAGATCTACAAAACAAGAGCGAGGCTAAATCTCAAGACATTCGTTTCCGAGTAGGGTTGTCAACAACTGGAATGGGTTACCAGAGTGGGTAGTGAATGTGGAGACAGTGGAAAAGTTTGAAGCAAAATTTGATAAATACTGGAAAAATCAAGAACACGTATATAATTATATGGCACAAATATCCGCCACACGCAGCCACCGTCTGAGTAGAGAAGAGGCAATTGAGCTGGAGTCACAGGCGTGAGCCCCTTCCAGAAGATCATCTGTGAGTAGCTGTGAGTAAAATAGCCATCAAAATAAACTAGTTGACCAGTCACCTTACGTATGGTAACAAATGGACTATCCAATACTGCACTGTATTGCATAAATACCGACTTCTTAGTTGTAAACCCCTTACACATCTACAAGATGCCACAATCAGGAAAAGCAACAAAAAAATGTGGGTGGTGGAGCTGGAGCCCCTGGTAACAAGAGATGATCAAGGACCTGCTATCCCTCGGGGGTCTCCAACACAATCAGCTGATTTGTTTCTGTTTACATAACACTTTTTATGTAAGGTAATACACCATTAAAATTCATATGTAACTTCCGCAGCAAGTCACCATTACGGAACTCCTCACATGATAACTCTATTTACGCCCGGTAAATAGAGACTGCTTTAGAGACTGTCCTTGATCACAGCTGAGAGATTTCGTCATTCACAGTGTGCGTCGTACTAGCCGGCTTTCGTCTGCTAGACTAGACACAACCAGCGAGAGTATATCAACCTCTAACAATCCTACTTAAAAACACTTACCAGACGTGGTTTCATTCTTGATGGATGCCTCTTTAACACTTGTATCTTCTAAAACTTCTTTGATAGCTATACTTTTCTCCTTTTCAGTACATAGCCCATTTTCATAATCATTTTCCTGGGCCATCGTCTGCTCGTCGCACTATCACGTGGGGGACTGGTTGGTGAGCACCGACCGAGCGCCACCTGGGAATCTGGGAGCCGAGACGCATTGATTTACATAATGTGTAATAACCTCAATATGTGAATACAAGTAGGTAGTTATTGTACCGCTGGTATTAAGTAATATTATGAGATCATGAGTAGGTAACTATAATATAAATAACATTATCTTTATCAATAAATCTTCCTCGGTATGTCAAGTTGAAAGTTTAGTATTCAGAACCCCCTCACAGCACCAGAGCCCAGTCATTGGCAGTGCATCGTCTGCTTCAAACACTGTGATGTCTGTGGCGCGCAACTCAACTTTTCTCAACCATTTAACACTTTGAAATAATTTTTACTTAACGAATTTCTTAAAACTAAAGCAATGTGATAAAATACAATTTGGATTGTTATTATGCAGAATCAATAAATGTCAAAGTAGGTACAAACGTATCATAATGATTAGAGATTAGAGTTGTATTTTCTCTTCCATTTTACCGAATCTTCTTAAATTTTGTAAGCTGTATTTGGGCTAGTCTATTACGTTCTGTTATGTGTTTATTTATTCCTGTTCTCGTTATTGTTAGCCCCAGTATTTTTCCTATGTTTGAGTATTGTATTTCTTCGTTGTTTACTGTGATTGGTACTGGGTTGATCTTTGAAACCTATATTTTTCAGTTTCTGTGTATTAGTTTTTATTTTCCATATCTTCTCGTTTTTAATGCCATCATCTGTTTGGCCTTGCCTGGATGGCGGATGATCTGGGTGACATCATCAGCATATGCAGTGTATTGGTGGCGGTGCCGTGCAACAAACCTTCCGGGGTAAATGCTTAATTTTGGGGATTAAATTTAATTATAAAGTTAGTAAAATTCATACAACTTTGGTGGTTCTCCAGTTCGTTTAAGTGTTTATTGTTTACCTCTTCACGCGGTGCACGCATGATCAGCCTCCACCATCAGTTAAGTAGGGTAAGATTTTGTAATGTTAGGTTAGGGCAGGTTAGGTCAGGATTCCTTGGGTTTGATCGGTTCATTTTTTTTGTTTTCACCCCACAATTTCCATCGACTTCAAAGCACTACCCACTTTGTGCTTTCATTGTCTTTGGTAGTGAGTATGTTTCATATCATCCTTATACTGTAGTCAGTTTGCCCAAGATATAATGGGAAATTCATTCAAAACCTTCAATTTTCAATTTCAATTGTTTATTCCTTGATAGAGGAAGCGGGATCCTAGTGCTGTCACTAGGTACCCCTGTACAATGACACCAAAAGCATCTGGCAAGTGTGACAAGTATATACAGTATAAATATTATAAAGGGGCTTACTAAAGCCTAAGGAAGGAAGGATATTCCTTCAACACATAATCAATATTATTTACAAAATATCTGGCCAGTATGGGGAGGATCATCGTGTCTCCGTCAGGGGGTCGTGGAGTGGTGGTCCAGCAGGCGTCACGGAAGCGTTGTGTGTGGGGACATCTTAGGAGGTAGTGGATAAGGGTGCTGCTGTCGGGTCTTCTGCATAATGCACAAGAGCGTTGCTCAGGGGATGCGGGGATACCAATCTCCCAAGCAAAGTCATACCCAATGATGATACGGGCAGCAATCACGTCCCCTTTCCGCGACCCTTTCCCGTAGACGTACGAGAGGTTTCAAAACCTTCTGTTACCGTATTTATTAATATTTTCAGCTCTCACAAATCAATCGTACATCTTAGATGTAGATAATGAATATCAGTAATTGCTGAGCCCGGAAGGTTTATCGCACCGGAAGATTTGTCGCATGACAGCGGCATGTCTGAAGTGTAGATTGTGTAAAGAGTTGGGGATAGGTTACTTCCTTGTGGTACTCCACTATAAAGTCTGAAGCTTGGGCCTTTGTGATTGCCTATTAAAATGTGTGCTTCTCTATGGTCTAAGAAATTACAAAGTAGAGAGGTGAAGTTGTTAGGGAGTTCTTGATTGGTTATTTTATATTTAAGTCCCAAGTGCCTGACCTCATCGAACTCTTTTGCCACGTCCCTTAAAAGTATGTTGCACTGTTCTCTATTATGCATTGCGTTTGCTATACTTTCGTATATAATGGCTATGGCTGTGTTTGTTCCTCTGTGTTTCCTAAATCCGTGTTGTCTAGGGTTGTATTTGTTTTCTAGTTCCAGGTGTGTTCTTAATCAGTGGTTAATTATTTTTTCTAAAAATTTTCCCGGAGTTTCTAATAGAGAGATTGGTCTGTAGTTTGCTACTGCTGTGGGGGCTTTTCCTGGTTTTAGTATCAGTCTGTTAATTGCTGTCTTAAATTTCTTTGGGTAGTGGCCTGAAGCTATGGATGCATTGAATATATTTCTTATTAGAAGTACCATGTTGTTTGGTAATTGCTGTAAAATGAGTGTAATTATTTTACTGACTCCAGGAGCCTTGTTCTTAAAACTGTTGATTGTTCTTACTATTTCGTCCACTGTGATGAGTTCTGTAGCCAGGCCTACGCGTATTTATACGGCTGCTCAGGATCAGAGACACGAGGTGTGAATTGTGCGGGGCCAAACACTGTGCAGCATGCGCGAGGCGGCAGGCGCGCTGATCCTGGGCGGAAGGTGAAGGTCCAAGCTAGGTCGGCGATCATACCCCTACGTCCGTACCTGAAACTTAGTCTGTCGACGTAGCTGGCTGTAAGCTGATTGGCTGGTAAGCGAACGGCGGGTGATCAGTCGGCAGTTGTAGGGGAGAGTATCCACTACAAACCTCCCTCCTCACCTTCCAATGGGTAATGATGAAGTCAGCTGGTAATGAGAGTTGAGGGAATCACAGATGATTGAGTCAAGTAACAGGTGCAGTGTGCACAGACTGCGTGATGTGGTCACTCAGCCTTCCACCTTTAATTGTGATTTTTTTTCATAGATCCCTTTTCAGGGACATGGTCGTGATGAGAATGCATATATAGTATAGAGCAGTGGTCCCCATAGCCCTTTGTAGGCTCTGGGGCACATTTATCATTGTATACAGTGGAGGGCACCAAAACTTTGGATCTACAGTACATTCAAGAAAAAAAATCTCATACTGTATAGTTATTTGCAGTTTTACACTTCTGACTGTTACCAGTTACATACTTTTTACATTTAATCCTGGACAGGACGAGTGTAATTTACCCCAGTGAGAAGGCTGGCTCTTTCTCTGGGCCTGGCCTGGAGTAAATACACACGTCCTGTACACGACGGACTCAGGATAAACGAGCAGGTCCCCCCCCCCCTCCCTCTCTCTTTCAAACTATAAAGTTGTATTGTAGTGGAAATTTCCCTACAACTACAACTACTGTTTGTCGCTGACTAGCCGACCCCTTTTCGAATTCCCCAGCCAACGCCTCGTGGTCTGAGGTCAGCTATCAAGCCACGCCTACCTTCGCTCTATAAGCTCTCAACCTCGCTGTGACCTCCTTTGGCCGAAATAGCCTAAAGGCGAAGTGGCCAGCAATCCCCAAACAAGTCTGTGACCTCCCTTCTTCTACCAGAGCCCAGCAGCACGCAACACCTCCTCCGAGCAAGCTCCTCACCAACCAGCTCTCTACTCCACGCTCCTGAACCAGCAAGCTCCTAACTACGTAGCAGCTTCCCAGCACCAAGCTGCACTGTACATCCAATACAATATATATACAGAGAGTGCATTGTGAGTTTCCTTTCTCCAACCCATCCTGAGTGAGACACATCACGAAACCCCACAGTATCAACTTCTTATATATTTTCATTAATTTCACTCTTAAAGAATCCCAAATAATTCACAATTTTCTAATAAACCCTTGTGGGCTCCATAATATGGTTCTGCAGACACCAGGAACAACGGGACCACTGGTATAGAGTATCTTATTAATGAATTTATCCCATTCATTTATGCCTAAGATTTCTCTGATTTCAACCTGCATATTTAGTGGGTGAATATACAGTATAAGTTATCTGATGCAGGAGGAGGGCCATGAGTGAATCTTACCAGGATGTAATAAATGAAACATCTCTTTATGAGTTGAAATTTAGCTTAATATCAGGATTTTGCCATACATGAGTGGTACAAATTATTTCTTATAATTTTGTTACTACCTCTACTTGTTCTTGTGCTTCCCGATTCCGTTTGTTTTTCTAGTTCATACAATGGGATGTAGGAAATAAAGTGTCCATTGAGTAAGGAGAGAAGTGATGAAGGACTGGGCTATGGTATACAGTAGTGAGTAAGGTTCATGAAGTGGTAGTGGAGTGTTTATGCATCTTTGTGAGAAACAATAGTACTGTACTGTATATGATAATAGCCATTACAAGACATTTCAGAGTGCCTAATAAAAATAAGTGCAGTGCAGTATTAAGATAAAAGAAGGCAAGGACATGATACATGAAGTGTGCTGGTGGAGCAAAGTTGTAACTGAACCCTGAGTCTCTAATATCCAGTTGAGTAGGCCACCAAAGACACAAATTTAGAATTTCTAGCCCTTCTAGAATTCCTTTTAAAACATGCAAATAAATAGATTACATTTATGCGTACCTATATTTTCCACTCTATTTCCTCACCAAAAAATATTTTGTTCAGTACATGCAGTGAAACAGAAAGACTGATGTGCAAAATGTTTAAACTCTAATAAAAACAGTTTAAATACAGTATGGCTATGATAAACATAATTGAATTCCTTACTTAGTATATATGGATAATACTCAAGCAAAGTCCTGAAGAATAAAGGAGTTTCTACTGTGAGAATAGGTCAGAAGAAGGAGCTTCCCATGTACAGTATAGGAAGAGTGAACTCAAGCAAGTCTTTCAGGAACGGTTGATGATGTTAATCCTTCTTGCCGTAAGAGAAATCAAAGAGGATTAGCTCACAGGTGAAAGTTAGGGCAGAGAGGAGCAGACCAGCAGCAAAAATGAAGAAAACTCCCTGCAGGTGGTACAAGGTGAGTCTCAGCTGATCCCCCTCCAGTACTGTCTCCAACTTTCCCCTCAACATTGCAGCTTCCTGCACAGGACCACAAAGGAGATACAATTGAAAATGTTTACAGGTACTGTCAAAGAAAAAAGCTACATTACACCCCCTTAGTGTTTTGTTTTAAAATCCATGTTGAAGAATTTTGCAAAAAATCCCCCCATTAGTAACTGAGAAGCTTTGTGGTTTGAGTCTGAACCAACAAAATTAGTCTCTTTGTTTACCAACAGATGACACGCATATCTGTGTGTACACTGTTATTTTTCGTTGTTGTGAAAGTCAGTCACTTAGCAATGTGATCAAGTGTGATTACAGAATACTGTAATATTAAAGAGAGGGTTTATATATTTCTCATGTGTAATTCTGCAATAACATTTGATCACATTGCCAAATGCCTGACTTTCCCAGTACGTATTGAAAAACAGTAGTATACACACAGGCATAAACATCTACTGGTAAACAGAGACTAATTTTGTTGGTTCAGACTTCAGACTCGAACTTCAAAGCTTCTCTGTTACTGATGGGGATTTTTAACAAAATTCTTTGTCATAGGTTTCAGAACATAAGGCATGGTAAGTGTTTTGCATTACAATACTATACTCTAATGTGGCTTAGAAATTAAGAAAATATACTTAATGTATAAAACCACAAAATAAGAAAAATGAAGAGCATGGGTAAAGTAATCGTATTTGTGGAGGCAGCATGCTACAGCATGTTCCCAGACAGACTCCCTCCCCCAATTATGATGTCATGGAATACACACAGCGCAGCAGCTACCACACATCCCTGAGTCTGCTGGGTAACTGCCCAGTGTGGAATGAGCTACATGTATTTTTAGTACATAAAATATGTGCTCTTGTATTTTATGATATACTGTACCGGGCATAAATTTTAATGTTTATCATGGCATTTTTTTTCGTTTTTGATGTATGCAATCTGAAATTTCTTCAAATTTCTCTCACCTTTTGCTCACTAAATCATTTAACTCTGAACCACATTGTTTACATACAAATTTTGTGTTAATAAATCAATCATAATTTCAAAAAGTTTATAAGAAACTCATTTATTATTATTATTATTATTATTATTATTATTATTATTATTATTATTATTATTATTAGGGAGTACAGTACTTAGTGTTAACAGCCCTGCCATTTGAACCTGTCGTTTGCCCTCCATGCTTTGCTGTTATTTCTCATTTAGTGAAAATTTTGCATAACATTAGGTTTGCAAAACACCTCCATTGTTAAATGAGGGATACCTGTACTATACTGTACTGTACCTATTCCACAGAATTACCTGCAGCTCTAGTTGTGACCCTATACCTACACACTGCTACCTTGTACCCCTTGATTTGTCCTTACTCACCACAGCCTTCCTGCGTGTGGCCAGTGTGTGTTTCTCAATTAGTGCAGACATCCACTTGACGATGAATCCACCTCCTAGCAAACGCTTCAAGATGCCATCAAAAACCCGCTGTCAATACAATGATTCCATATTAAAAAATGTATCCAGTATTTCATTCAAAGTGCACCCTGACCTCTTTGACCAAAAACTGATTAAAAGTCAGGAAATAGAATGGCAAGATTCATACTCAAAATACAAAATTTATATGGGAGAATTTTTTTGGTCCAGTTACCCGATCAATGCTACTTTTTTCCCCTGCACAACTTAAAATTATTCTTATAAAAATTAAAACTAGAGTCTTAGTCACAAGTGTATTCAATCATCTAGTAAAATTTGAGGCATCTGTATGACAATAATTTTGGTGAATCCATTGTTTATATGCAGCATCAACATTGAACATAGAAACATCATACCATTTTTCTTGTGATGGGAAATTAATTAATTTTTTTGGCCTGTACAGAATGGTAATAAAAAAATGATCTATACTATTATTCAGTATTACTCAGATGTAGGACGTTGGTGGTAAAGCGCATAACTCTCACCAATATATCAAGGGTTCGAGCCTCGGCCCGGACACACCTGAGAAGGGTGATATCCAATGTGACCCTACCAAACACCACAGGTTCCTCCCCGGTCCTCGGTTTCCTCCTGGATAAACCGCCCAAACGGCTAGTCAGCTGATAAGTGGCGAATGTGATAAATAGATATACTTATAAATATAATGGAAAATCAATATAATGATAGGTTAGGTTTGGTTGGGTTAGGATAAGTTAGGATAGGTTAGGTTAAGGTATGTTAGGCTAGGTTAAGATCTATTAGGTTATGCTCGGGTAGGTTAGGTTAGGTTAGCTGATGGTAGGTTATGGTAGGTTAGCAAAAGGTAAGTTTGGTTAAGATGGCTTAGGTTAGGTTAAGGTAGGTTTAGGTAAGTAAGTAAGTTAGGTTAGGTTAGGTTTGGTTAGCTTAAGTTATGATTTGGTGAAGGTTATGGTAGGTTAGGTTAAGGTATGTTAGATGTGATTAAGTTTGGTTAGCTTAAGTTAGGTTAGGGTAAGTTAGGTTAGGGTAAGTTAGGTTAGGGTAAGTTCGGTTAGGATGTGTTAGGGTAGGTCAGTGGCTCAGAACATGGAAAAAGCCCTATCTACGTAATTTAATTTGGATAATGATTCTGTTGAGTATTAAATCAATTAACTCTTAACTTGCTTTTATTGGTGATCCCTTCTGCATAGCATAAGCAGTGTCTGTTTGAAAGAATCTCTCTTTGGCCAGGTACACTTGTGTGTCTCCATTTTTGTCAATGAAATGTGTGGCAATGGCATCCCTGAGGTAAGTCTGGAAGGAGATGAAGGCAAAGCGTTCATCCAGTACCCGCTGCACACACTCCACAAGTGATGGGCAAAATGTTAGCCCCTGGAAGATCTCTTGGTAGAGGGGGGCCTATGGAAGAGACAAGGAGTGTGAGAATAGTAGGGAAGACAGAAAAGGAGGAATGAGTAAATGAGTGTGAGCATCATTAAATAATGATTGAAAAAAATGGACAGGGGAAAAGAAAGTGGGTCCGATTGACATGACTGCCCATTAGTGACTGTGGATCCAGCACACTGTACTGTACACTAATAGGCAGCGTGGCTGGTACTGCATTCAATCACATTCACTTCACCAAGTAGAAAACTTAGGTAGCCATTTACAGCTGGGTGAACTGGGAGTGCCCAGGGATCAAACCACCAACTCATGGAACAGGAGGCTAGCGCTGTATCACTTGATGACCACACTCCGATTATGGATATGGTAAGCAAGTTATATTCATATAAAAAATTAGGAAATGATCCTGATATGCTATTTCATGACAGCCTGAAAGACTGATAATTTCTCTCAGGGGAGCCCTGAAATTAAGCAACTCGCTGTAATAACTATAAAAATAACAAAACCCACTTACTGTATATACAAATATAATGGTTAACATCCACCCATAGTATCTTTTCTTTCCAGGCCAAATAAATATATTTCAGAATCATGGTAACACTATACAGTAATGCACATACACATAACCCCACACATACCTTACTGGACTTAAAGAGCATGTAGTCTGAGGCACTGTAGTTATTGATGCCCCACACAAAATTAGAGTCTATAAGCTCCTCCAGGCCATCTACAGTTGAGGAGAGTGCTGGCACAGTTAAGAAGGCTGTCAGGTTGCTCACATAAGACACTGTCGCCACCAAGCAGAAGAGCAGCCAGAAGGCAGCATATACCCGCACTGCAAAACTGGGAGGCCATGATCGTGCCTGTCCCAGAACTCAAAACTATAAACTAAGGTCAGAGCACTACAGTATCACATAGTGTTACAACTTCTACCACTGTATAATGCAATGAAATCAAGGTACTGTACTGTGTATGTTTTACAGTGCTGTACCGAGAAAATTTCTTCTATACTGTAGTTATATTGGTGCATATTAAAAAAAAAACCCTGTGTAATGCTTCTCTGTAATCACTCACACACAATATACCACATTTCCTTAGAACTTTATTTTGTGTTTATAGTAATTGGCCATTCATAATCCACTATCAGGATAAATGTACTGTACAGTATAAATAGCACTGCTCAAACATACCTATGACACCCATAAAACAAAAGACACACCCAACAAACAGAGACTCCTTACTTGTGTGAACATGGTAGCATACATGAGGAATAAGGCCCCTGGTAGTGACTGGGAGCTGCCTGAGAGCTTCTGCAGGAGCCAATAGGTGGGTCCTGAAGCAGTCAGCATTAGCAAGAAGGAGAGCCACACATACGACTGGTAGGGACGCACCAGAGCCAACCATTGTGGCAGCGGCTGAAGCCAATGTAACAATGTCTTCACTGATATGATGTTTTGCAATGTCTCATATTAATTTCTGTATCATTTAGACTAAATACATAAACATATATTTTTTTAATAAAATGTCTTTAAAGGTTTCTGGTGTTTTGTATGGACTTAAATACATGCACTGCCCTACAATGGTCGATGAAAGCATATTAAATTTATTTGGAAATTGTAATGACAGTGATAACAAATGAAGCAACTAAGGTAACTAAGTTTGAGAAGTTAATACAGGTTACACCACCGATTTTCCGGCACCCTTGGTTCCAAAGCCTTGCCGGATTATCCGTTTTGTCGGACCAACCGAGGTCAGGTAATAATAATTCAACAATACACCTCTGACCCACTAATTATACACCTACTGTGTCTCTAAAGCACCATCCATGGACTGCTAGAAACTTAAATTAAACAAATATTAAATGTAAATTAAATGTAAAAAAGACATAATTTTGAGCAACATTACTGTACTGTACATACTTTGTACTCAAATGTACTACCACACGAGACTAAAAAAATTATATCTTGTGCGAACGATGTGGTGTTTATACTCAAATTAATCACTATATTACAAGGATTCCAGCAATGGAATTTATATTCTGCTAAGTCTAGTATGTGGCATTTTATAAGATAAAAACTTTAAGCCTAAACTGCCTTCACCCTGGCACTTTATGAGGGCGGGGGGGGTGATGTGTTGACAGCTGTCAAGGAGGAGAGATAACAAAGTGCTTTGTTATCAAAACAGGTGTTTTAGTTTTCCTTTATAAAATGTCACTGAATTGACTTTTATCCTTTTCACCACTGATCGGCTCGTTAGCCGCTTGGGCGATCGGTCACGTCTCTGTTACACACTGTTGGCAAGTACTGGGCATGCACCGGATTCTGAGTGTACCTGAACCTGCTCCAGTGTTGGTCAAGTCTTGTCTTGAAAGAGCTCACACTCGGTGCCGTCACAACACTTTCTGGTAGATTGTTCCAAGAGTTTATAACCCTCACTCCGAAAAAGTTTGCCCTCACAGTTTTCTGGACTTGCGGCTTCTTCAATCTTGAGCTGTGACCCCTTGTGGGGCGAGCGTCCGCCAGCTCCAAGTAAGGACACTCGACTGAGTAGTGCCCCTTGAGATGCTTATACACCTCAATTAGGTCACCCCTTGCCCGTCTGTAGTATAAGCTAGGCAAGTTCAGGCGCTCCAATCTCTAAGGGTAGCTGAGGTGCCAAAGTGCAGGCACCAGTCTGGTGGCCCTCCTTTGAACATTTTCAACCAACTGGCAGTCCCTAGCATATCTCGGGGACCAGACGGGGTGACAGTACTCCAGATGGGGAAGCACTTCACTCTTGAAGTTTGTTACGAGGGACGGACAGTCTAGATATCTGAATGACCTTCTTATAAGACCCAATAATTTATTTGCCTGATTTACCTTCTTCTCGCAATGGCCCGAGAACTTCAGCTCATTGTCAACATACACACCTAGGTCCTTCTCACATTCAGTCTCTGGCAGTATATAATTTGCATTGCTGTAATTCTTGTAAGATAGTGATTATTTTGAGTAAAAACATCACATAGTTTGCACGAGACATAAATTTTTTAATAATTAACTTATTACAGGTTTACCGTTAGGACAATTATTTCTTTTACTTTTTCACAATATATATTTAGGATGGTGTGCGCATGTAAATGAGTAAAAATAATTGAAGGAAGTTACATATATCTTCCCAAAAATGAGCTAAAAAACTTGTACACAAATGTACTGTACTAGACTAAAATTTCTATCTCTTGTGCAAACTATGTGATGTTTATACTCAAACTAATCACTATCTTACACGGATTCCAACAATGCAATTTATATTCTGCTAAGTCTAGTCAGCTACATTTTATAATATAAAAACTTTTAGACTACCTTCACCCAGGCTAGGAGGGAGGTAGGGAAGTTAAGTGCCCTTTCATAATTTTGTCGGGACTAAAGGAGGTGCCGGACCATCAGTTGCCGGATAATTGGTGGTGTACCTGTAATAGTACTGTATATGATAATAACACCCATTTTCAAAATACAGTAGAGGTACTGCACAGTGCTATACATTACAGTACTGTACTTCGAAACATTCAGGTTAAGGCATTGTGCTCCAAAAGTTGAAATCAAGACAATTAGTTATGCTAAAGAAATTTTACCCACTTTCCATAATTTATTAATCTTAGCTCATATGTATAGTGATCTTTCATATCTTCTGTAATTCTACAACTGTTGAATTTGTTAAACATGCTAGTTTCAATTCCATGCAAAAAAGTGTTTTTACAAAAAAAACAAAAACAATCCCTTACCATTAAAAAAAAATCTTAAATTTTGTTTTTCTTAAAAATGTCAATACTGTACTTATAAAGCTTAGATTTGAAGTAAAAAGAAGTTAAAAAAATGTGCCATGCCTTTGATTTAACCCCCTTGTGTCTGGGATCGCCAAAATCATCTGGCATTAGCCAAATAAAATACAGCTGTACTGCATTAAAATTTCATATGCTTTTTATGTACAGTTCCCTTCACTAGTGAGTTTACAGGGGCTTGTCACATAAAAATTCCACAAATCATTATCATTGAGATATTTGTTTTAATATTGTTTTACTTTGATTCCATAGTACAGATGTATATTTACTATTGCCAGTTTCCTTCTGTTAAATGTGAACAAACACAGGCTGCCACACTGCACAAAGTCTGATGAACCTCTATAATTGCACAAGTGAAGGGGACTGTACAATATAGGTGTTAGATGTGTAAAATAAAGTGTAGAATTTGGAAGTGAAGGAAAGTTTGGAGGTGTGGATATTGCCAGTGATGCATGAGAGAGGGTGAGTAGTGTCAGTGACTCAGTGGGATGGCTACAGTATGCACCCCATGTAAGCAAAGCCACAGGACTTCAAACCTTTATACAATATATTAATAGTATGTTGGTACTAAAATTATAATATAAATATCTAACCTTTTTCCACTGAGCAAATGACATAACAGAAAAAGTTTGGAGGTGCTACTTGCTCAGGAAAGGCTCATGGCAGAAGACTATGGAAATGGTGGATTGATGTATTAACAATGTTAATGACAGTGAAACACACAAAGAAGACCTTCATTCTGCCATAGTACTGACACAGGATGATGTTAAAGGTGGTATTTATGAGTAACCCCACACTCACTTGAGGCTTACTGGTGACAAAGGTCAGAGGTTCTAAGTGGTAGCCAACAGTGTAGTCGATCACCTCTGCCCGTTCAGGAGTCATGGAGACATCAAGTGTGAAGTCCTTGAGGTAGTTCTGTACTTCGCCCAACACTCCCAAGAAAGTGCCATTGTCCAGCCGGTACCCCCATCGCCTGTCAACGGGCTCGTACACCTGTCATCAGCAACAACACTCAGCCAATGAAGAGAAGGCACCCCCAGAACCCATCAGCTGCTTCATACTAAACTGACTTTAAAGAATTCTAGATGTAATAAACATTCCTGAAACAACACTAACAAAGAATCACATCTATTAGTACAGTACAGTACACTACAATACGTAAAAAAGATATATACAGTACATTTCCAAGAATACATACAAGCACAAAACTACTTTTCCCAGGAACGCATGTGAACAATATTGATGAAACAGGCGTGTTTTGGAAGGGCATGTCTGTCAACACATTTATTTCAACCAAAGAGAAGACTGCTCCAGGTTTCAAGGCTTCAAAGGATCGTCTAATGCTTCTGTTGGGAGGTAATGCTGCTGGAGATAGGAAGTTAAAGCCTTTGCTTGTGTACCAATCTGAAAATCAAAGGCTTTCAATGGCTATGCCAAACCCAGGTTACCAGTGATATGGCGTTCTAATAATAAAGCGTGGATAACTGCCAGCCTCTTCCAAGACCAATTCACAAACTACTTTTGTCCAGCAGTGGAAAGGTACAGTAACACCAGAAATATTTCCAACAAGGCCTTGCTACTGTTAGATGGTGCTCCCAGCCACCCAATTAACCTGAATGATCTTTCTAATAATGCTAGAGCTGAATACATGCCCAAGAACACAACTGCCTTGCTACAGCCAATGGATCAAGGTGTGATAGCCAACATTCAAACAAATTTAGCAACAACTGATATGGAAGACCAACATCAGTAGAAGAATTTTAGAAGAAGTTTAACATAATAAATGCTGAAGGAAACATTGCTGAGTCGCTGAGTCCTGGGATGAGGTGAAAACTACAAAAATGAATGTTGTGTGGAAGACCATCTGGCCAGAATGCATTTACAACTTAAAAGGTTTTCCCCAGGTTCAAGCATTCAATGAGGTGTAACAAGAAATTTTAACTCTGGCAATTGGTGCAGGGTTCGAGGACGTGGATGAAGATGGTGTGGTTGAGCTGAAGCAATCACACAGAGATCTGATGTTGATGGAACAGGAGCGAGCTGCTGGTGAGGAAGAGGATACAGAGGTTCCAGCCACAGCCCATGAACTGACAATAAAGGTTTTGGCTAAAGGGATTAGTCTAATGGAATAACTAGTGGAAATCTTTGAGGCTAACAATCCATATCGTGAACGGAGCTCTTCAATAAAAAATTGTGCTGTCAATGACAGACGACTTCAGGCAAGTTATTTGCCCCAAGACCACAACCAGCAGCAAATGAAGATGATGATGATGACAATCCACAGGGATAGGCAAGAGTCAGCAGTGACCCTCCGTCTCCCACAAAGTAACTCCAGTTGCACCACCTCACCTCACCAGCTCATCTAACTCAGCACTCATCATCATTTCTAGTAAGTAAAATTTGAATGTTTTGTACATTTAATATAATGTTACATCATGAATGACTCATTTTATGTGTTTAAAACTGTCTATTTTCATTCATATATCTGCTTGTGTTTTGTTTTGGGCAGCAAAAAAATTTCATGAGAAAGGATCTCAACTTATATAATGGAAGTCAAAAGGAAAAATGGTTTTGCGATATATATACAGCTCCTCCCCGACTTACGACCTACTCGACTTACGACCACCCGGACATACAACCGCCTCAGTCGTACAAAAATTTTGTCAAATTACGTATTTTCGAGTCCCAACGTCAGTGAATGCGCTGTGTACTGACAAAATATTCGTTTGTAATTCACTTTAAAATTGCTGGCAAGCTTAAAGTGAGAGTTTTGTGGCGCTGAGAAGAAAAAGAGACACCCATTTTAGATTTTCTATGTATTTAAGCATTTTCAACTTACGACCTGGATTTGGGTCCCTAACCCTGTCATAAGTCGGGGAATATATATATATATATATATATATATATATATATATATATATATATATATATATATATATATATATATATATATATATATATATATATATATATATATATATATATATATATATAATAATGAATGTATGAACACACATTAGTAGGTTTTCTATAAATACTGAACTTAAAAGTGTTACCTATTCTGTGTATCAGACAGTCTAGGAATGGCAATTTACAGTCATGCTCTAATTCCACAGTGAATTTGATCGAGGGGGCTAAGTTATTAAGTTGTGGCAAGAAAGCTTTTAGGTCCTCATTACTTGGCCAGAGACATAATACATCATCAACATATCTAAACCAGACTGCTGAAGGTGGTAAAATATTACTTAATGTGTGTTCATACATTCATTATTATTCTGCCCACCATAATAGAGTCAAACAGTCAGTATTTTCAACAATGTTTTTACGTGCCTTGAGAATTTGCAGCCCGGAATTCACTGATGAGGAATATAAATACCTGTATATCTATAATATTGGCTCAAACCTTAAATACCCTAGATCTTTCATAGACGAATGCCTGAATATTACTAAGAAATCTTTTTATAGAACTTATCCCAAGCCTACCCATGACCATAAGAATATCTTAATATTACCATTTCACAAAAATTTCTCTCAAATTCCTTTACAACTAAAAACCTGGAACATCAATGTGGCATTTAAAAACTCATGCACTGTTAAACAAATGTTAATCAAGAACTCCCCCAACAACACAATTGGTTGCATTTATAAAGTTCCTTGCAAGGAATGTAATATGTTTTACTTAGGCCAGACAGGTAAAGATCTTGTAACTAGACTTAAACAACATAAATATAGGGTTAGGACAGGCCAGGAATCCAATGCTCTGTTTGTTCATTTGAGGGATAACAAGCATTGCATTGACTGGGATAATGCCTCCTCAATATTACCTTGTAATTCAATTGACAGTAGGAACATCATAGAATCTAGTCTTATTAAACATACCGAAGCATTCAACATGAATTTGAGTAATGGCATGTACAAACTGGACAATTTTGTAATTAAGAAGATTTGTAACCAGGTGAGAAGGTTGGGTCACCTTACCTTCTGACCTGACTACCGACCGTTGCAGTGCTATTTAAAGATTAGTAGGGTCATTACCTAATACCTGACCATTGTGGACCTGATCTCACCCCCCTCTGTATATATTCACCTTGTTTTGTACTTCTCCTTAGTCTGTACAGCATATGTACAGTACTTGAATTTGTATCCTTACTAACTAATATTTTCTTGAGAAAATGAGGTAAGATCACCAACCTCATAGGTGAAGTTGTGAACTTGTGCAATGATGTCTATGATCCTCTTATCAAGACAGTCCTCCATCTTCAGTGGGTGTGTTGAGTTACCAGAGGAGTAGAGAATGAAGGGTGGGAAATTCATCGTAACAGCCCTGTGAGAGGTAACACAGACTCATTACCACTACTCGCCTGCTTTTTTTGTGAAAATACACCGTAATCAACAAGTCTGATATCGTCACCACTAGTTTTATACTCCAGAACTAAACAGTTTAGTAGACACCATTACCCATCCACACATTACAATAGTACTGTACTGTGACAAGACAAATTTTCTCGACACCTATTTTGATGATCATACACTTTTTAAATCGCTTCATTTCTGCATCACTTAGGTCCAATTATATTTGCTTAGTACATTTACTGGAAGTCTAGCTTGATGATTTAAATGTCACACATATGAAAGAAAAAAGGAAAAGTTTCACATTTCCAGGATGATGAAAAGTAAGTAAGTAAGTAAGTAAGTAAGTAAGTAAGTAAGTAAGTAAGTAAGTAAGTTAGTAAGTAACTTACAAACAGACAACGTAAACTAACCTAACCTTATGGTTGAATAAGGTTAGGTTAGGATGGCTCGTGTAGCTTGATGCACAGTTAAGTGGTCCTATTTTTTTTTTTAAGCTTTGCACTTTGTGCTGTCCTAACCATAGGGATAAGTTAGTTATAGGTTGTCTGTTTGTAAGTTATTTTGCAAAATTACCAATATCCATATATTGGTCATATACATATATATTGTACACTATAAGTAATATCTCCGTTAGCCAGAATCCCTTAAACCCGGAACTCTCCAGTAACTGGAATTGAATTTTTCTCAGAAAGTCATTCCCAAAGCCGGAATTTTCAGGAAAATTCCGGCTTTGGGAACAATTTTCCAAGGAGCACATTTGCCAGAAAATTCTGAGAATTTTTTCCTGATACCCAGAAAATTCCGGGGATTTTTTTTCCCAGGTTTGAGAGATGAAAATCAGGCGCATTTTCCGGAAATTACAACAAAAAATTTCGGTACGTACCTGGAAATTTCCAGGGATGGGGGTAATATTTTCCGGGTTCGAGAGATGGTGTATAATGGGCAATTTCTGGAACTTCTGAGAACATTTTTCAATTACCCGGAAAATTTTAGGAATAGGGGATATTTTTCCAGGTTTGAGAGACGATGTAATGGGCAATTTCTAGAACTTCTGAGAACATTTTTCCGTTACCTGGAAAATTCCATAAAATTTCGGGGATGAAGGATTTTTTTCTGGCTTCAAGAGAGTCGTCTTGTTACCCGGAAATCTCTCATTTCCAGGAATGCTCTGCACCAATTGTTCTGGCTAACGGAGATATCACTGTACGTATAGGTATACGTATATATATATATATATACTGTATATATATATATATATATATATATATATATATATATATATATATATATATATATATATATATATATATATATATATATATATATATATATATATATATATATATATATATATATATATATATATATATATATATATATATATATATATATATATATATATATATATATATATATATATATATATATATATATATATATATATATATATATATATATATTTTAATAGCAGGATTATGTTGTTAGACAGGAAGCAACCTCTAGGTCAGGCTACCACAGGTCAATCCCACCTCAGTACCCACCTAAATATATGACCATTACAGTCATGGAAGAGATCAGGAAAGATGTCAGATTCCGTCTGGAAACCACGGGAAGGGCTCCATCGGGTCCGCAGGATGACTTCTGGCTCTCCAGAACGGCAGAATGGACAATTGGCTAAACAGCATATTATAATATAATTAGAAGTTTTGAAATATCCCAAAAGCAAAATGTGGTGCACAAAACAAATTACAAGATACAGGTAATTTCATTTGTCTTTTTGTTGACAAACACAGTACAGTATTACCATTTAAATACAGTATGTACAGTAGTGTACCTGTTGCATTATTTAGTTCAATCTCTTTCTCTGAGATTTAAAGGGCCTCCGAGCCACAGGCACAGACCTGTCAAGTTTGGAAGAGCCTCCGAGCACCATAAGCATGGACCTGCTGAGTTTCAAAGGTCCTTCAAGCATCAAGTATGAAAAGACCTAAAAGCACTATAGGCATAGACCGGTTGAGATCGTTAGAATCTCTTGAGTGACACACACTGGTTGAGTTTAAAACAGCCTGCATTTGGTAAAAGTAAAGAACTGTTCAGTTTTGAAGGGCCTCCAAGCAGTACAGGCCCAAACTGGTCAAGTTTAAAACAGCCTGCAATTGGTAAAAGCGTGGAACTGTTGAGTTTGGAACAGCCTGCGATCAGTACAGGCATGGACCTGTTGAGTTTGAAAGGACTACCAAGCAGTACAGATGCAGATGTTTCAAGTTTGGAAGGGCTTCTGAGCTCCACAGGTTTGCACCTGTTTGATGCAGTTTGCAAGGGTAGTTTCATTCACATTTGGTCATTTTGTATACTGTACAGACCATATGTTGTTTCATACAACTAATCAGGGAAATTGGAAATTGCATAATAACAATAAATTAACCTAATTCAGCCTGACTCAGTCTAACCTAACTAAATCTAAATAATTACAAGAAACATCACATAAAAGTCTAAATTTTCATCTTATTTTATGAAACGACCCATAACTTGTGTACAAAACAACGAAGACTCCTGTGTATGAAACGGCTGGCATTGGATGATTTACCTCTTCCACCAAATTAAGTTAGGAATGGTTTGTAGTTAATTTTTAAATACGTACAGTAGTTAGAAAGATTGAGAAACAGACTAATAGCCATGTTAATATTGTTATTATGATCCACTCTGTATCTGTGTTTTTCTGGCTAAATAAACTGTTTCAATTCAATTCAATAGAATTCATGGACATAAATACCAGTGCTATTTGGGACATACCTGTACATGATAATGTTTCAGAATGTATTGGTGCATCAGTTACAGTTTGGTGAAAAAAAATTTAATGATTTATTGGTTACATGATGTAAGGTCTTGATAAATAAGCTAACTTAGGGCATTACTAATTAAACTAGAACACAGATCTGGATAAAACAATATAACAATAGTCTTCACTCAGCGTGAAGAAAAAATCAATTCTCTATGTTGGTAGCAGCTATGGCAGACCACGTACAGAGTAGGTTGAGTGGCCATGACCTGGGGTCCTTGGGATTGTGTTGAGGGTTGTGGGTGATGTAGATAGTGTTGTAGGAAAACAAGAGGGAGGGTTCTTCCTCTAGGGTTCTGATGTCTAGGTTCTTGCCATCGCTGTTGGTGTAGTAGACAAAGTACCTTGTAGCACCACGGAACCAGTCTGATCATATCAGAGGAGAAAGAGGAATACAGAAAAGCAGTTAGTACATGAGAGGGTAGTGAGAAGTGAGGAATTTTCTTTTCACAAGAACAGATATCAAGAGGATATCAATTAACTCACAATAGGGGCAGGAGTGTTGACATTCCCATCTTCTTATAAGGAGGCAGGAGGAATGTGAGAAACTAGTCTCTCACAACAATGGCATGATGGATCATAGGTTAAGTTTTAGTGGTTTAGTTTATGATTTGGGTTCGGTTTACGTTGAGTTAGATTTGAGGCAGATAATGCTTAGTTACGGAAGTTAGGTTATATCTAAGTGAAATCATTATGTTAAGTAAGGCTAGGCTAAGCTATGGTTAGACAGGACAGGTTAGGTTCAGTGAAATTTCTTCTATGATCAATGAGTAACATAACTTACCTGTCTTAGGAATGGCAGATAAGGCAGTGGCAAGGAGGGAAAGGGAGGAGAAGATGTAGTAGGCGACGCAGTAGGTGCCATCAGACTTTGGGGGGCGATGCCGCAGGAGGGGCACACTGGGGAGAGAACTCCTGAGGTAGGTCTCCACATCATAGATGAAGAAGGTGTTGGTCATGGTTTGCTGCAACTGTTATGTAGTGCATTTCATCAGTGTTTTAGGAAAATGTTGTTATTTTTCTTGGAAATTATGTTCATCCATACTGTATTGTAAAAAAGAAAAACAAATACTGTACGAAGGAAAAACGATAACGGGGTAATTAAAAATTAATAAAAGAAAACACACACATATTAAGAGCAAAGAACTCCTGTAATTTAAAAAAAATATATGTACTGTACAGTATATTTAAAATATTATTAATGCAGGTAAATTATCAAGCTAACTTAATTTAACAAAACTACAATTGGAAATTTATTCATATAAATCACACAGAACATTTAACAAAATTATTGTACTGTACTTTTCAAGTTATTCTGTAGAGCAGTGACAAGTAAAATTTAAATTACAGCTTTCCCTAACTAGTAATACAGATAGCCAGAACACTGAAGAAGGCTGAACCCTGAAATCCTACTTTTTTTTAGTTCAGACCATAAAAAGCAGCTGCTTTAACTATGGTAGATAGTGTGGGATGAGGGTACCATGCAGCACACCCATCACACAGCTGTAGGGGTGTGGCCATTAAGCAGCACACCCATCACACAGCTGTGGGGGTGTGGTTACCATGCAGCACATCCATCACATAGCTGTTGGGAGTGTGGCCATCATACAGTACAGTATTGTCTGGATTTACAGGGTTTTTGTTTACGCATTTGGTCATTTACGGGGCACCTTGCCAGAATAAAATGTTTTAACTACGCAGTAAATTTCATCATTTACGCGGGAAGCGGCGCGGGCAGGGTGCGCACAAGGTCGCCCAGTCATCAAAACATTACCGAGTTCTTCACCCGCCACCCACCACAGCCGGCCCAAGTCAGTGATAGTGATAGTGAGGATATGGACTTTGAGGAGTTTGACAAAGAGGCCCTGCAAGCCTCTGTGGTGGATAGTGATACAATTGATACAAGTGAGGGCCAATAATCTGCCCTCTGCCTCGGAACCAACCCCCCATCCCCGTGTGCCCAGCCACTAACGTAAGTGTTAAAAAACCTACTGTAATATTATTGATATTTCTCTTAAATATTAATTGTGTGCATACCATCATAAAAGTAAGATGTTATTTTTACTACAATGTATGTGTGGTGTCGGAAAAAGTGGAGTTTGAGGGTCGGCCCAGTCTCTATTTCAATTAATCCCATATGTTCTGTTATTTCGTATACTCGTTTCTCGTTTTACGCGGACCTCCACGGGTTCAATTGACCGTGTAAATGCAGACTATACTGTACACACATCACACGCAAGTAGGGGTGTGGTCAACATTCAGTACACACATCACCCTGGCCATAACCAGGGTAGATTTTTTTTACCGATTTTCAAAATCACAAGTGGGAAGGGGAGGACGGGGGGGAGGGGAGCAAAGCGTGCCCATCCAGCTGGAGGGTTCGGGGCCAATGTTGACATTAGCCTTTCCTTTCTTGTACACATCTTTTATTTGTGGACTGAATTTGGCTTGGATCTTGTCTTATGGTGACACACCTAAATGAACTGATGACACTGGCCCTTATAGCAATGAAAAAAAATAGTTGATTTAGAGTTCACCCCTACCCTTATAAAAATGGATTTTCTGACATGACCTTCCTACTTTCTAGTTCCCAGCCCTAGTGTACTGCGCACATCATTGTCATCCTTAATATCTCTTTTATTCATATTACGCTACATAACATTCAAATCCACCGCGCTTGTAGTCACAGAAATTGGTAGAAAACGGGAATCTTTGGTAAGGGATAACTCACCTACTGTATGTTGTTTTAGACGAATTGTAGCAAGGTATGGTCATATAATATTAAGTGTATGTACTTATAGCATTAAGGAGAACTCATGGTATCTATAGGATGATTGGGAAGGTCCAATTGATACGGACTAGTATACTATAAGGTATAAGTGTAGATCGTGTCTGAAGGTCATACTATTTACGTCTATGAATGATCAGTGAACATAGCTACCGCAGATATCAGATGAAAATACATGAGAACAATGATCTGGAAAAAGGATAAATGTATCAGACCTATGTGAAGTGTTGGAAGTGATCCAGAAACTATGCTTCAAAGAGAATATCTTATATACCCACGCCAAGAAAACACGCCTTTGTTCGGGTTTGCATCTAGGCCGCCCCAGGCTACGGTGCCAAGTGTTGTTATAACCCAATGAATTTCTCCAGGAACTAGCAAACCAGACCCATACTTTAGTATGTAATTTAGGATTAAGATATATAATTATAAAGCATAAGGTCACAATAAGGAAAGTGTATATGTGAGAACCAAAATAATATCAAAGTGAAAATTAAAGATTGGAAACTGTAGGCCTAGTTCAGTGAAAGACGCGAGGCATTGCCTTAGTGATGCCCGGCTCTTCACCAAAACAGGTCAGTGAATGCCATCAGGCTCCATTCAGCCCTAAAAAGACTTACCGGTATCTAGCATTGTTTTTACATCTTAAAACCTTGCCTAATATGATAAAGTGAAGTAATAGTTGCATTAATGCATGGTGATAAAAGCCCACCAGGCATTACTCTCAGTGATGCCCGACTTGTCACCAAAACAGGTACGCACGCGCCCAGAGCGTTGGCCAAGCCACCACCAACCACCACTGTGAGGAACTCACCGGGTGTGGTGTGTCTGCTTATGGCCATTATGCACCTCCACTGTGAATCTGTGGATACCCTACATATCACCACCCAGGATAGGAGAACATAATTGTGAGTTTGAGAAGTTTCGCGGTCGCCACGTGAAGCGACCTAAGAATACCAGGCGTGGAACCAGTACTGGTATGATTACCTGGGAAGTATCTCATCTACTTAGCAAGAGTAGAGTGTGAACGAGGTACCTGGTATGTGTACCTAAGAATACCGAGGAGTTCCATACTTGTAGGTGTGGAGTAGACCTGAGATGAGGTGCTATAATATAACATGTGGTGCAGTCTGATGTGTTGGGTGTTATGGTAAGAAGGAATGACCAAGGTAAAGAGGTCATTGGTTGTTATGAAGAATGAAGATGATAATAGTAGTTATTTGATGAAGGATGTATACTGATGTGAAGTGAAGTGGTTCTTCTGATGAAGGCCAACTCTTTTTGTATTGTGACTGGATGCAATACATTTTTACAAGGATTAAATTAGTTAAGTCATGAATGATGTTTCACCCTTCTTCCCATTCTCAATTTGGGCAATGAAAAACCCAACCCAATGCCTAGCTTGCTCTGCCCGCTACCTAACGAGTTACATACTGTCCAGGGGGTCTGGTGGCAGCGACCTTAAAATTAAGAGTAGAGATAAGTTATCCCCTTAGAATTAGTGACCCCAGAATGGCAAGTATACTAGAAATAAAGTATATGTTGATGCACCCTATGGATTTTCTCTGTGTAATAAATAAATCTATTTACAGGAATGTATTAGGGCATATATATACCATTGTAGGCCTGCCGACCTGCTACCTATTTCTAACCACACCCTGCAAAATACAGTGTACTTAGCAAATGCTGCAGCTTCTGAGAAATGGGAAGTTACTACTAAGAGCAGAGATATTACCGAGAATAAATTCTGGCTTGAATGTCATGTACACTAATACCTGTACTGACACGTTTCTTGATAAGAGAGGGGAGTTTGAAACACTACTGAAAGTACACCAACCAGATATTGTAGGAGTTGTAGAACTGTTGTACAAGAACAGGAGAATCAACCCAGAGGAATGCGAGTTCAGTATTGTTTGATATGACTCATTTACGAACCTTTCTCAAGAAACTTGCAAGAGGGGTGTGATTATCTATGCTAGGCAAGACCTTAGAGCCAGCCAGGCGAGGGTACAGGGAGAGGATGTTTTTGAAGAGTCCAAGTGGTGTAAAATTAAATTAAAGGGAGGGGACTTACTTATCGTCGGGTGTACCTACAGATCCCCAAACTGTGGCTCACTAAATCAAAGGAACTTAAGAGCCTTAATAGACAACGTGGCAATGCTCAACCCTAGCCACCTCCTTATCATGGGGGACTTTAACTATGGCAACATCGACTGGAGAAACGAGTCCACCCCAAATGACTTGAATAACCCTGCTACTCTTTTTGTAGAAACTCTGAGAGATAATTTTCTGTTCCAACATGTTAGAGACCCAACACATTACATAGGGGAGCAAACACCCAAGCCACTTGACCTCATCATAACAAATGAGGAGGGTATGGTGGCCAAACTGGAACACCTTGCCCCAGTTGGCACCAGTCACCATATAGTGTTGTCATTCAGATTTAACTGTTACCTAGTTCAGGATAAGGCCAGGCCAAGGTGCAAATATTACAAGGGAAATTACAATGGGATGAGGGAAGAGATGAGTGGTATCAACTGGCCTGACTCATTAAGGTACAAGAACGCAGACACTACGCTGAATATCATAACTAGTAAAGTGACCCATTTGATCGATAAATATATACCCAAGACCAAATCCAGTGCTTCTAGGAACACGAGGGGATCCTTACACATGAACCATGCGGAAGGTCGACAGTATTAAGAAGAAAACCCAGAAATTCAAGACGTGGGTTGGGTCAAACGATGAGCAAGACAGGAGGATGTATGCAAGAGCCAGAAACCAAGCAAAGATAGAGTGTAGAAGGGCTGAAAAGGAGTTCCAGAGGCTGGTTGCAAGTGAGGTCAAGTCAAACCCAAAGACGTTTTACCGCTATGCAAAGTCGAAATTGAAAACGCAAGTAGGAGTATCAGACCTGAGGCTTGAGGATGGTAGTTACGCAGATTCTGACCAGGACAAAGCTGAAGCTGGAGGTGTATTTGGCATGGGTTCTAACTTTGGGGTCTGAGAATGCAAGGATTCTAATACAGCATTAGAATCCTTAGAGAAAGTTTGTTAAAATATATTTAATTTTATGCAGCAGTGAAAGCAGGCAATGGGGCGAGATTGTGGGTGGGATCAAAGTTATGAATGTGTCAACAATGTCCTGTAACAAGTCCTCATAGATGTTAATTAATGGAAGAGAGAGGAGGAAAAGTATATTTCACAACATGATTTCCTTTAGTTTTTAATGTTTTTATTCCTTAAAATAAAAAAAAATGTGTGAAAAAAGAAGGACGAAAAAATTACCATGTTCCGAACCTCGGTGACTTCATTCATATGTAGTTACGGCCCTATACGTGATGCAGCTGTAGGGGTGTGGCCATAATGCAGCAGCATGCCCTCCCTCTTCCCATAGGTTCTTAACATTGAGCAAGATTTCAGATTAGCCTTCAAATCCAACACAACAGACCTGAGCAGACACAAGATACTGACTAGGTAGCTTGATTCTATTTAGACCTGCCTCCAGCTGGCAATTATGGGGAAGGATATAATATGAGATCAGTCCCCAGGGATCAAGTAATAAAATGGCTAAGGCCTACAATGGGCTTGTGTAGTAACAAAAGCTGTTTGGTAGAGGCATGCCAGAAATCATGATGCTTGAGACATAAAAAATACTCTTGATGCCTAAACATTACAGATAAAAACTAAATGATTATTGCAGTCAAAATACTTATGATGTCTATATCTTACACCAAGAAGAATGTTGTGCAAATGAAGAGAAGCAGCAACATTTGTGAGAATAATTGTGTGGCAGACAGCGAGACGCCCCCCAGCCAACTCGCTCAGGAAATGCACCACATCCACTTCCTCCTGCTTTGGTATCCCTATGGTAGTCTGGGGCCAGATGACACCAAGAGGAGCAGCAGGCTGTGGCACTATCACCACCATCAAGACTACAGTAGCTACTGCTACTATCACTCCATGTGCCTGAAAGCATTTTGTTTCAGGGTCTAATTTCTCATTAATTTCATAGAACTTTTTCCCTCTCATAAGAAGGGATGTGAGAATTCATCTAGTTAGTCATAGAGAACTCTTAATGCTGTTTTAATAGTACAGTACTGTAATGAGATTTCTTGCATCCTTACACTTTATGTTTATGAGTTCACGGAGTATATGAAATTTCCAGAATACACAGACACACCTCAAAGATTTCTTTTAGCTCTGCCTATCAACAATCAACAAAATTAAAGAAAACTGATGATGATGATAAACTTTTGTGTGTGTGTGTGTACACACTGAGAAGAGCACAATACATATGAAATGTCTTACATCTTAGAACTTTATCTTGTTGCCAACAATATGAGTTTGACTTACCCTAGTGAGCATGGTGACAAGAGTGTGGCTGGGTGGCAGTGGCAGAGTGACTCACCAGAGCGTCTTCTGCCTCACAATTGGGTCACGCGCACACACTTTTTACTCCATTTCACTTCATGTTCATAATTTTTTCACAGAGCAATTTAAAATGTCACCAAAGAGAAATGCCATAAGAACGATGCAGTATTTCTTTCTCACTTCCAATATACCGCCTTGTAGTCAAGTTTGTTTGTACCTTTCCACACAAGAGAAATGGACTGTCCAAGAAATACTGTACAGTACCTACAAACCAACAATAGAAAATTAATTTTAACATACAGTACTTTGATTGTAAAACGAATTGGGAAAAGAAATACTCGGTAACTTAAAATTTTAAAAGGAAAATTTTGAAACTGGCAACTGTGTGTAGATGACCTGACTCACATCATATTGATGTTTCAAATTTAATTAACAAAAATTTATGTATCTATAAATAAACTTTTAAAAATGAATACTTTATGTTCTACATACTCCTGTGCATACCATACCATGCATTTGGATACTTTGGGCTTGCTATGATGACGCAAGAGATCTGCCCTGGCAACTGTACCGACACTCACAGCTGGTGGTGGGTTGGTGCGTCGTTTCCATTGTTTACTGGTAGTTACTAGTAAATATTTTTCAACCTAACGAAACTATTACCCGTTTAGAGGTCGACCCCCAACTTTTTGCCCAAAAATTTGGTCTTAAGAACTCGTGCTATACACGGGTATATACGGTACTTGTAAGCCTTCTCCTTATATCCCAAATGAGTATAATGGTGTATTTCATACAAATCAACTGTGGATAAAAGTAGTCTTATTTCATTTCATTTGATAACATTAATACAGTACTGTACTATGAACATACAGTTCTGGCAATTTGATGCTTACTGTATTGATTTGGAAGGGAAAAGTGAAACTTACAGAACAGTACTGCACAGAATAATATGATAAGTAATTATCACATATTCAATAGACTTTATGCAAAGACGCAAGTTAATGTTATGGAACCCAGAGTTTGTAATGCTGCTGCTTTTGTCTGCTCTGTGAGTTGTCCTCAAAATTATATCACGAAACATTACAAGTTGAGTACGCAATGCTGGACCATCATCATAAACCAAAGGTGGAAATTAAAATTTGACCTGTTGACTTCTGATTAAAATCAGACAATACAATAAACTGTGTTTTCCTCATGTGGCTGAAACTAACTCTCCAGTCTGGACTTCTGAAGGCTGTTGATGATAGCTCTACAGTACTGTACTTAAAGTTTTGTTATTTATCTTCATGTTTACCTCTCACAGTTTGAAAGGTTTCTGAGTTATTATACTGTACTGTGTAATGGTCATCAAAAAAGCTTTGTGTTCAGTGCGTTATAATTGAAAGATATTGAAAAGTCTGCCTCTTTTCTTTAGATACAGTTCTCATAGATCAGACCTAGGAATAAGCTATAAACTCAAGTTTATTTTTTCTTTCATATAAGCTGGCTTACTTAAGTTTATTTCTAGAGTGGAGTTACTTGGCTAAAACATTAAATCTTATATACATAGCTGATGAAGCAATTAACTCAACAGAAAAATAGATGAAGGGTTTCTTTAAGAATTCTGTACAAGATGAAATTATTAATTTGTAATTAAGGTAAAGACCAACTAAAGGTAACTGAGAAATGTGCAAGTGTCTACTGGATATGGTAGTTGGTGGTTCACAAAGGCACAATCTAATCATATCACACATTTAATTCTTATTTCATAGACAATTACTTATCAAAGTTATCATCAGTTCCATGTGTATTTTCTTCAGCTGCCTAACACATTAAACAGTTTATCCCTTTCCTTACATTGCCATTAAATCTTTGTACCAGACTCTTTTAATGATAGATTTTTCTTTCATCCATACAAGCTCACTCCTGCCATGATTCAGAGTGACCAGACAGGTGCTGATACTTAGCTAGTGTGTTATCCCACCCCTTTCATAGGATGCTAGTCCACCAAAGGGATATTTTAGTGCAGGAGAGCATACCGAATATTGAACTCATTTTATGGTCAAGTACATAAAGAGGGAATGAAGCCCTCCACTCCCACTGAATGTCTTATAAACACTATCTTTTCTCAAGAATTATTTGACACCATGCTCTCTGCTCATTCCCAAACACTGATGCCTTCTGGATGTCCAGCCTATCTTTTCATCTTCTTGGTTTTCTGGCCTCTCCTACTATCTTCCCCTGAATTATACAGTACATACAGTACTGTACAGTATTTCCAGTTCCCTCTGTATGTCTGCATCTGAGCACATCCTCATATGCTCACTGGCTATCTTTCTTTCACTTCCACATTTACTTTCTATTTACTTATTCTCTACATTCTATTCTCCCCATATTTTAAGTACAGGTTGGACCTCGCTAATCCAGCTTACAGGTAGGCCCTTATTTACAATAAAACAAAGTTTGTCTCTTGATTCAATACAGTATATAAATGATAAATCTTTATTTTTGTTACCATTTTTGTATTTTTCCCATGTATGAAATCTTATTTATATATGAGTGATCTCTCGTGTTTATCCTGAGAAATCTGTCATCCCACAAAATCATGAGGAATGCAAAAGCTAGCGAGAAAAGTGCCTCTACACCAAGGGTGGCAACATGGTACAGTAAGTTTTATTTTAGTTTTTTATTTTCTACTAAAACGAAATACAGTACGTATATGGTGCCATAATTTTGTATCATGCCTTACAAAAATTTCATATAGTACCATTACTGTACAGTACAATAAAATTTTGCACCATAATTTCATACCTCAAAAAAGAAAAATCTGAGAAAAGGTTAAGAAAAAAATTTATTTATATTTAAAATTTACATGATTATGTGCTTCGCAGTTTGTTATCCTCTTTACTTGTGGCAACCATGATATACATTTCTTCAACAGCAGGACAGTAGGCAGAGGCCATTACTGTAATCACATTAGTACAGTACAGATAAGCTGATAAAATAGTTAACTTATCAAACTATCAAACAATAAATTCCATGCTGTAGCCAAGCAAAACCATAATATAGTACAGTATACGAGGCGAGATCGAAAATTTCCCGGACTAGCTTCATAAAACCTTTCTCTTAGCATATATAGAAACAAATCACTAGCAATTATTCAACCATGGAGGGAAGTATCGAGCAATGCTGCGCCATCAGATTTTAATTCAGACTAGGAAAAATTGGTGTAGAAACCCATTTTATGTTCACGGAAGCCTACAAAGACGGAGCAATGTTCAGGGCTCAAGTTCTCTGGTGGCACAAGCACTTCAAAGAAGGGTTCACCTTCTTTGAAAATGAGCATCAATCTGGGCGGCCTTCCACCGAGAGAAATGATGAAAATGTCCAGAAAAATTACCAGCTTATTCATGAGATTCGTAGGGTGACCTTCCGAGAGATTGCCGAGCGATTGGATCTCTCATAAGAAAATGTTAACCGAATTCTGACTAACGACAAGTAATTGGCTGCTTACCAGGACAACACACCTGTGCACACTGCCCTCTTTGTGAATGATTTTCTGGAGAAGCACGGCATTGACCAGTGGTTCCTTACCTGCTGTGCTCTCCGGATCAGGCCCCCGTGACGTCTGGGTGTTTCCGAAGTTCAAGTTAACCTCAAGGGGAAGAAGTTCATGAACAGAATGTCTCACCAACAAAGACTTCCAGAACTGCTTCCAGAAGTGGGAAGAACAGATTCAGCACTGCACTGAGACCTCTGTAGAATATTTTGAGGGTGATTAAAGTTTCACTGTAATATCCTGAAAATTAAAGACTTTATGAACCCAATCCGGAAACTTTTGGGTCACACCTCGTACACTGATTGAAATTCACAGGCAATGGAGACATAAGTACCCGAGTTTTTGCCTTTATTCAAAACATCTTCAGATATCTTGAATACTGTAAAGGCAAAATTGAGATATACAGTACTATATGGTAACAAAATTATCTACTTACCTTACAAAAAACAGTTTTAATAGTATACCTGAAATGGAGCATTATCTTTTTACATTATGCTCTTAAAATTTGCGGGGTTTGGGTCTCAAAATGGCCACGAATATCATTTGCTAACTGAGGGGGTTGGGGTTACAGTTTTACTCGTATGTGCAAGGAAATTAAATGTATACTTCCTTTATATGTTTGCCCTTAGAACAATTATTTCCTTTACCTGTACTGTATGTGTGTCACACACACAAAACACATACAAATAAATAATTATGGGTAAATCCTCTCATAAATAATCAGAACCAAGACGCAAAATGTATCAAAATGTAGAAAAAAAAAATACGAGTCTACCCTCAAGTCAAGTCCATGCTTTGTTATTAAAGTTGGGTTGCCATACGACAATTTTTTCCCCCTAAAAATTACTGTCTCTAGATCGAATGGTATCTGAGCGCCAGCTGGGTTGATACATAGATCAAACTTAAAAAATTTCTTTGGTAGCCATCTAGCCAACCCAACACAAATGATGTCGGTAATTGTGGTGTAATACTGTACTTTTTCACAATATGTATGTAGGATAGTGTGTACAAGTAACTGAGTAAAAATATATGAAGACCGTTACGTATAGCTACCCGAAAATACGAGTTGAAAGACAGCCATAACGCCTTATAGTTTTCCTAAAATAATATGTACAGTACAGTACTAGAAAATGTGATGAAAAAACAAAAAACAATAAATAAGTTACAAAAAAAATTACTATTGCCAAACCAGTAAATAAAAGCCAAATGAAAGTTTATCACAGTCACCATTTGCACACACTACCTGTTCCACCATATAACGATGATTGGCTGGGACGCAGATTCCCTAACAATGCTCCCCACCAACTACACTCTGCACTCTCCTCCCGTTACGTGTTTGCCCTTTGGACAATTATTTCTTTTACCTTTTCTCACAATATGTATTTAGGATGGTGTGTGCATGTAACTGAGTAAAAATAAATGAAGAAAGATACGTATATCTACCCGAAAATACGAGTTGAAAAAACCATAACACCACAGCTTGGCCCTGTAGCCTTGTGGTTACAATGATGAGCTAACCTAGCTACAATGCCATGATTAATCACTATTAAACACTATTCTATCAGTAAACACTAATAATAACAGTAAATCCAACGAAATATGGCAGGGAGTGAGAGTTACAACTGCAAACGATGCGCTAACTCACTCCCATTGCCAGGTGTAAGTATGGGAGAAATATGTGACCTTCTTTTCTCTCTTCACTTGTTTGGGCATCTGGATGAAGGTGGTTAAGGGCATTTGGGAGCCATCACAAACACAAATAGCACAGTAGTTAAGAGAGCAGAGTAGCACACATGCGAAACGGACAAGTGTTTAACCCGGACTGTCACCGAGGCGGAGTGAGAGCATATGAACCCAGCCACCTGGGACAAGAGACACACCTTGCGGGACACCATAGAGCTCGCGGGCTCCCTGTCCTGGCAGTAAAAATGCTGCCAACTTTAAAACTACCTGCAGACATTCTTGGGTACATCCAGGGTGTCATCCACAAATAATTTAAGTCCGCAAATTAAAAATCCGCGAATTGTAAGGGCAAGCACTGTACATGTTTGATGCATGAAATGAGAGGGCTATAGATTAAAGTTGTTTCTTACCTTATGATTTAAATCCTCCAATGAAGTAAATCCACAAATTCCCACTACAGTGTGATGTCTCTCTCAAAACTAAAGCAACTTCCTGGGGCTACCCATTATATACAACATGAAAGGCTGATCCATGGCCATGACATCAATTTCATTATTGTGTAATCAACCCTTGTGACTGGGAACAGGTTGACTCTGACCTCATTGTCACTTCACAGAGGGATGTCAACTAAACCTCGTTAGTCTTTTTGGTGATGACCCGAGTTGACATGTGACAAGCAAAGCCAACATGACCTCACATACATGTCCATAATTATTAGTTTTTCTCTAAATACTGTACTGTACGTTAGTATAGAAAAGGTACGAAAAAGATGTGAAAAAAATACGTACAGTACCATACCAAACTGGGAAAAAATATTGTACCGTAATTTTCAACCCATACTTAGGGTCAAAAGATTTCCATATCATCCTATGATAAACTATACTGCTACCTTTGCTCTACACCCAAAAGAAAATCTATTTGTTGGAAGTGAAAATGAATGTTATTGAAAGATTTGAAAAGGGTGACCATCTGAGGGCCATCGGGCATACTTGGCATTAATGAAGCAACATGCAGAACAATTTGTGCTAATGGAAATTAAAAGTTATACCCCGTACATGTGTTACTCGATTAGTTGAAAAAAAATCAGGCTTTCTCACTCTTTGTGGAATCAGTGGAAAAGCGGTTGAGCACAAGGATTGAACACTAAATACAATAAAACAATGTTTCCATTTGATACCGGTACAGAATAAAGCTATGTCTGATTTGTTTTCATGTTTTCTATATAGAATTTAATATAATGTACAGGGTGTCCATAAATGATTACCCTGATTAAAGCATGGTCTCCCACTGTTTTTAGGGTAATCATTTATGGACACCCTGTACTTTCTCTCTTCATCCTCACCTGTAATCATCCATATATTACATGCATCTCAAAAGGAAATTTCTTTTTGTTGTTTCACAAGATCACATATTAATATGAATTATGTTAGTTTTACTGTACAGTGATTCACTAAGTAATTTTTTACCCTACAGTTATTATGTTAACTCCCATGAGCTAAAAAATTCTAATCCAGCTCTGTTCAGGTCATAGGGTTGGCAGTTTGGAAAGGTTCCATGGTGTATCATTTCTCTCTCTTCTAAACTGTTCCTGCCTCTTGCATCCAGACTAAATTTATACAGTAAATACATAGACTGTATAAGGAGGGTAAAAATGAGACAAGGTGTTCATATATAATTTAATAACCAAACTGATATTTTTCCTAAATGGAATATGATATAAGCCACTGTAATAGAGTATAGCAGTTAAAATAACACACCAATCAGCCCAAAATGACATGGCTTAAATATCTTATTCACAAGTTAAGTCTATAGTATATTATGTAATGTCACAATATCATGTACCTCATGAATAGCAACACAACACTTCTCACTAAAAACTGAAGTATCAGAAATTCAAATTTGATTACTAGAATAATTCTTAGTAGGCCACTTAAATCCCACCGAGTCTTTTCCCTTAGTTACGCACCTAAGTGTTGCAAGTTTATCAAGACAGATTTCGTGACAACGTTCTGGATCTTTCGTTACCACCACCACCAACTGTCGAGGCCACACCAGAGATAGCCAAGGGACGGTAAGACTCCAAGTGATTACTCGTCCACTATTACCGTGTCTTTCTTCACTAAGAACTCTACAGTTTCTTCCTCAAAGTCATTTTCATTTGAAGTGAGAGTGTCAGTGTCCTGCCCTGTGAAAATCAATAATATATTTAATACCATGAGCACACACATACATATAATTATACAAATAGTAAACCCTAGAAAGTCCGGACCCTGTAAGTCCAGATTTCAGATAGTCCAGACCGTTTCCGGGCAAGAAACATTTATCCAAACCCTTAAACGTGTTGTTTGAAATACATGCCGCATGCAGTCATTTAAAATTCCCACCACACGCAGGCATTTGAAATTCTCGCCAGCCAGCAATCCCTTGGCTTCTTTCCTCCTCTCGGACCCATGAGTGAGAAGTAACGAGAGCTAACTTGATGTGTAAACATGCTGGAGGTGCGGGGGGGAAAAGGACTGGCCTTACCCAGTTCGCTGGATCGTTTTTATTTATTCATTATTATATTCTCATAGGATTAGCCTCTTATGGTGCATGTTTCATCATAAATAATATGACAGTACTAAATGATAAAAACAAAAAAAAATATGATATATATTTTGTAATTTGACTTGATAATAAAGGAAAAAATTAAAAGGAAACACTCACATCATTTACTGCACATTAAAATACAAATTAAAGGGTTATCAGGGGAAGGGAATAATGAGTGGGTGCTTAGTGCACAAAGGCTTTCAGACCCACCCCCCCCAGAAGTAAAAGTCTGGACAATCGGTAAGTCCGGACCTGCATTTCCCACCTCAAAGAGTCTGGACTTTCGAGGGTTTACTGTATTCATTTCTATCTATTGATAATATCAATTGTGGAATCAGCTCATACAGTATTACGACGACTTTAGCCCATTTAAAAATAACTCACCATCACGGAGACGAAGCCGATTCTCCTTATCTTCTTCAAACATGTCGTTCATCTTCTTTCTGTATTCAGTGAAGGTACTCATCTGTTTCTGACGCTTTTCTATGATCTCTCGACTTGCCTTGCTGTATCTCATTTTATCTTGTACTTCAAAGTTGGCAGCATATTTCTTCATGTTCTTCTTGATATCCTGTAAAATAAAATGATGAGACTTAATATGGCTGCTAAGGAAGATACCTTCTTAAAAGTCACATCCTGTGTGAATTTGTGCTAAATTAATAAAAAGGATATTAAAACCGCCTAAAGTGTTGGAGAGAAAGAGAGCCCGCAATAACAGGGTTTGGACTGAAACCCAAAACACATACCTGTACCATCAAATTCTTTAAGACATCACCTTTTCTCTTATTCATGCCATTACTATATTTAAAAAACTTCCCTTTAAATTACATCTTATCTCGAGTCTTGAACAATTGCTTCCAGGACTGCAGTTGCTCACTCAAAGTGACTACATAAGTGCTGAGCTGTGCTGGCAGATGACGCACCTACCTATGCTGCCATCACAAACTGATGAATGATCTTCATTTGAAATTCATTTTTTAAAATGTGAATATTTTCACATTTATTAAAATTTCCCTAATAGTTTCCTGTGTTAAGCAGCTAATGTGAATTTTATGCAGTATGAACTCATGTTGAACAGGATCTACCTGTCATGTACTATACATACAGTATACATGCACAATGCACCTCAAAAGAAGACACAGTTCTCTTAACCAAAGTTTAAAATTATGGTAAAAATATGGGCGTTTTTCTTGACCCCAGAAACTCCACCATATTACATCAAATTTTCAATACAAATCTAAAGTTAAAATTTATTATCCTACACTTGTATAAACATGATAAGCAATCTGCTAAGGAAACCTATGAGCCATGATGTAACATTCCCACACCCCTCATGATATAAATGACAGCCAGAGATTCTTTACAAATACTGTATTAAAGTAGGACAAATAGAAAACTATTTCCCATTTCTTTTAATCTGTGGTCTATGATGTAACAAGTCATGAAATCAAAGCACAACATTCTTATTCACAAACTGTAACACAAAATAGTGAATATTACAAAACAAAACAGTACATGAAAATCTTCTTTGTGTATGTGTATTTTTTTACTTTACCTTATAGATGAAAACATCTGTGATTGTCTAAATATTAACCTTTAAAGACATAATCCACTTTTTTGGCCGGTAGAAGATGAGAATCGTGGTGACTGCCATAGTAACCACATTTAACAAAAATTTTTTTATTCTATCCTAAACATTTCTATATATACTATCCTAAGCTTTTCTAAATCTGTAAATGCCACAAATTCTTTTCCCCCATTAAAACTTTTTCATTGTGTTCTTTAATGCATAAACTCTTATCCACACACACATGCCCTTTTTTCTGAGCCCACACTGCTTATTAATATGTTAATGCACACACTTAAATTAAAGTATTTTTTTACAGCTTTTTGTTCTCTTCAAATAATTATATACCTAAATATTGTATTCCACTTTGTACATGCACTTAGTAAGAACAAGGTGATAGACCAAACATTAAACAAAACAATAATTACCCAAATGTTTTCCCTTTTCATATGTTAACCAGCTTGAATGCCATTCCATTCTCAACACACCCACCAGGACCTGTCTCTGCTATTATGAATATCAAAGGTAAGACCAAGAGAGTGATAAATGGTGTGATGGATTATGTTGGTGAAACAGGTATTGATAAGTTTTAAGTGTGATGAAATATGTGGATGAAAAAGCTGTGTGGTGTGGCTAGCGAGCATCACAAAGAATGTACCCAATATTTTGACATTTTCACAGACTATCTACATATTACCCAATTAGAAAACAACAGATAGCTTAATGGATAAATGGATTCAGATAAGTTCGTACCTTAATGTCTTGTGATGTAATTAGGGCTGGAGGTCGTGGCCGCCACAACAACTGGCACAACTTCTCTACATTTTGGCGCTTCAGAATTTTCCCTTGGAAAGACCACAGCCAGTAAGCATTGTCCACCTGTTTTTTGGAATAAATTAATGATAAGACAAAAAATTCAGAAACTATCTAGGACAGACACTTAGGAACTCCACTAAAATATGTAATTTAGATAAGAATAAATTAGCCATATTTTATGAAGACCATGGCATTATGAGTAAGCATATTTCAGGTAAAATATATATAAATTTCCAATATATAAATACCTTATGTCCCCACCAAGAGACACAAGAAGCAACGTAACGCCCAGTGGGGTCCCACTCAATGTCAGTGGCCATGAAGTGCTCTGTGCTCATCATCACCTTTGGGGGGAGGTAAAATTTCATTAGATTATCCAGATAATAAAACCAGAATTTTTCATATATTTTCTAATAATCCAATCTTATTTTACACAATATCTATCATTTTAGATGGCTAACATTTAAAGCCCTACTAGTGTTACATAAAATTTTAAGTTATAATTTTTTTTATACAAAAATTACTTTTACTTCATTACTCTGGAGACATTATTCCTCTAGAACAGGAAGTAAGTATGATATAAAAATATTAGCTATCTAAATTACATTTACGAATGAAAAATTGTAGTGACGCAATGAAACCTATTTATCTCTAGTTTACGTTCCTTATATTTTAATTTATAGAATGATAAGGTGAATGATAAGAATAAGCTACACAGACAGGAAAACAAATGAAGAAGTGCCAAGAAAAGCAAAACCTTCCACAGAAATACAGTTCAGGTTGTACCTCTCTAGTCCGGCAACCTCGGGACCTGACCGGTGCCGGACCATGGAAATTCACTCTTTTCCTGGATAGATAGTGACTTGTGCTTATGCTTGGAAGCACTAGCACCACTTTCTCTGCATCATGGTCTCTTTGAAGACATATTGAAGGGTTAAATGTCGTATAGTAGCTTCTCAAATTTCGTGAGTTTTTAATTCAACGCATTTTATTGGAACACACTCAAAAAATAAATAAATAAATAAAAATTTTGACGGCGGAAAATTGAATTTCGACGGGTTTGAACGGCCCGCCAACATGCAGACGACGTGCATAATCGTGTAAACAGCGTCATTTCTCTTATGTACAAAAGATTCATTATTGTTTATTACTGAATGTCTTTTTTATTGAATTAATGTTTATGTGTGCAAAATGAGCAATACAATTCATTAATAATACGTAGAATATGAAAACACGCGAGGAAATGACACAGCATTGTTTTCGTTGATTACAAAACCAGTGACTGACTGGTTCAACATATAAAACTGAAGAAAATAAGACCTTGGTTGTAGCTGTAGTAAAATTAATATGGTTGTTTTAAGTAATGTAATTTAATGTTAATAAATGGAACAATAGAAGTATCTAACGATAATGGTAAAGAAAAAAGAGAGATCGCGTATGTAAGTGCGCACACATGAAAACATATCGTCATTACTTTACATAAGAATATAAAAGCAACACTTATTTACTGTTCATATATATTTTAATTAATGTTTCTGAATTTGTTTTTATTGAATTAATGTTTGTGTGTGCAAAATTAGCAATACAATTTATTAATAATACGTGGAATATTAAAACACACGATGAGACGAGACGGCTGCCGGCATTGTTTATGTTAAAGCTTACAAAACCAGTGACTGATTGGTTCTACATATAAAACTGAAGAAAATAAGACCCTGATTGTAGCTGTAGTAAAATTAATGTAAAAAAATTAATATGGTTGTTTGAAGTACCTGTAATGTTATGTAATGTTAATAAATGGAACAATATAAGTAGCTAACCATTAATGGTAAAAAAAAAGTGAGACTGCGCATATGTAAGTGCACACATGTGAAAACATATTGTCATTACTCTACATAAGAATGTGAAAGCAACATTTATTTACTGCTCATATATATTGAAGCAGAGAGAGAGAGAGAGAGCAGCCGAACTGCCGGATGTATACAAACCTTAATTTCCCGCGGCTTTGTTGTTCTTTTTTATGGGGATTAGCCCACCCGGGCATAGGTCACTGACCCACATTGGGTCAGTAATAATAATAATTCAGATAAGTTATTAAAAAAAAAAAAAAAAAAAAAAAAAAAAAAAAAAAAAAAAAAAAAAAAAAAAAAGCTGCCTATCTACCTATTGGACAAACTAAAATCGTTCCGGACCACGGGAGTTTCCGGACCACAGAATGCCGGTCTAGAGAGGTACAACCTGTACTTGAAATGTACAGAAAAAAAAATGAGATACTCTGATCAAACAATTGGGGATAAGGGGATAATAATAGAAATATTAATAGGTAAAATTGAGGGTAGGAGGGCCAGGGAAAGGCAGAGACTGGGATGGATAAATTAAATTAAAAACTGGATCCCCAGAGATATAAAACCTTGGAGGATTGATAAAAATAGCCTTAGAACATTTATAGTGGAGCACCGTGGTCACCAACCCTCAGATATGAGGAACCTTACTCTGAATGATTGAATGATAAATATACCAAACACTCCCCGGGCTATAGATTTCAGACTTAACAGATACTCACATATTAGTCATATTTAAAATGAGAGCCAAGTAATTCTAAGGCCGAGTGGGGATATTTACAACCATACCCCACCTATGAACTTTATATTATGGTTATTTCTTAATTTGTAATTTCAGGTAGTATATGTAATCTTCGTTTTGTTTTAATTTAGTTACATACACACTCAATCTTACTGTACAGAAAGTGATAAAAATTAAATAAATACCAGGAACTATCATAAGGTATAAAGTACAAGTATATTTAACTCATAATTTTTAGGAGATACATACACACAGAATGTGTAAAAATAAATAATTATCATCAGGTACAGTTCTAAGTATCAATGGGCTTCCACTATGAAGCTGTGTGGAGATCATAGGGACCCTGCCAAATTGGACAAAAACACCCATTGGGAACTATTACTATTAATTGACTTAAGATTTAAGGCACAGTAAGAAACAATAGCACTATCAAGGAAGCCATGACTAAAATTTTTTTTTCAAGAAATTCATGGCTTAGTTATGAGTGTGTCTTCCATGGTGGTGCACCTCATAAACCAGGATATATGGTAGCTACAACATATGTTTTAAAGGTTCACATTTTATACTTTATATTAGTTTTGAGGGAATATTTTAAAGCTTCTAAGGGCATATTGTATGCCAATATACTGTATTCAGTATACAATACAGGAATAATATACTGTTGTATTTATAAGTTATGGGCCCCCTCTAAGCCCTAAGCAGCTGCCCCCATATCTGACCCTGCACACAATGCTGGATAACAGAATTGTCATAGCAGTAATATAAATGTATAAACTAACCCAAAATGGGTAGAAAAAATGTACAATTTAATATTCAAATGACGCATTAATGAAACAATGAACAGCGGGGTAAAAAATTATGAGAACTGCTTACACATGAGAATTTGCATTGTATTTATCTCATAAAATAAAACTGAATTTCAAAATTTTCTCCTTTAAAGGGTACAATATAATCCTTACCTGGAAATCTTTAGTATCAATAAATTCCAGAGCACCGCTCATGTTGCGTAGACCAGCCAGCACTACAAACTGACCCTGAGGTGACCAGAAGAGGTTGTTGCATGGACGTTTTTCTAGTTTCTTGAGTTCTGAGGGAGCCTGACCTTTGTTGACTTGGAAGAATGTTACATTAACACTTGGGGGTTCACCACTGATGATGCCGAACTTGTTGTTCACTGGCTCCCAAGCAAAGGCCTGCAATAACCAGTTAACTTGAACTCTCTACTGACATTACATGTATATGATTTTTTTTTCTTTTTCAAATTGGTTCTGATATGATAATTATATCATTTATACCCAAAGTATAAAGCATCAACATACATGTACAAATGTCACAGTTTAAAGGTACTGATTTATATTTAAAAAAAATCTAGACAACATACCTGAATGCTTTCCTTGATTTCCAAACTGTCAACTGGAATGCCTTTCTCTCTCATGTGGAAGATTTCGAAATTGTAGTAAATACCAGAGTACTTAACCTCATTCTTTTCACGCTTGGCCTTGGCATACCTGGCAACTTTTACACAGAGGTAATCACCACATTTTTGCCAGTGCATTTTGCAGTCAGCTACATTGAACAAATTCTTAGTTCTGATCTGGAAAGCACAAGAGTTACAGAAAACAATTACTTTATCTATAACTTGCTCATTCACCTTCTACCACTTAACAGACATGGTTTATAGGTTCCTTCCTTCACAAACCACCACCTCTGCATAAAGTTTACTGTGACAAGATAAATTCCCACATCTTCATTTCTCCTATTATCAATTTATTTCCCTCAAACACTTCATTCTTTAACCCTCTCGTGCATGAGATAAGCTTTAAGTTTTCCAGTTCAAAAATTACATCTCTGAGGCCCCCCAGGTCAGGCGAGACAGCCCACGGTGAATATTTTTTTTATCAATTCCGCCCCCCCCAAAAAATTTGTCTTTATTGGCATAAAGCATATATCTTTGACTTCATAACTGAGTGCTCTGCAACATAAAATAAATAAAAAAATAAATAAAAAATAAATAAATAATAATAATACAAGTACAGTTGGTCCTCATATTACGCGGTTAATGTAACCCGGAGGGTACCGCGGAAAGTGAGAAACGCGTAAAGTGAATAACATAACATATGGGATTAATTGAAATGGAGTCCGGGCCGATCCCCAAACTCCACTTTTTGACGACACACAACTATGTTGTAGTAAAAATATTATCTTAACTTTATGATGGCATGCACACACAATTAATAATTAAGAGAAATATCAATAATATTAGGTTTTTTAACACTTACATTAGTAGAAAAGATGGCTGGGCACACGGGGATGGGCGGTTGGTTCCGAGGCAGAGGGCAGATTATTGGCCCTCACCTGTATCACTTGTATCAATTGTATCACTATCCACCACAGAGGCTTGCAGGGCCTCTTTGTCAAACCCCCCAAAGTTCATATAAGTCCATATCCTCACTATAATTATCACTATCACTGACTTGGGCCGGCTGTAGTGGGTGGCGGGTGAAGAACTGGTCATGTTTTGATGACTGGGCGACCTTGTGCGCACCATTTTCGCGCCTCTTACACAACATGGCGGATGGCAGGAGGTTTGGATCCAAAAATGGCGCGGCTTGCCAGCCGCTCTCCGCGTAATGGGGTTCACGACCGCGGAATGTGAAAATGTTAGGTTCTGGCAAGGCACCGCGTTAACGGTGAAACGCGGAATGCGGGACCGCGTAATATGAGGACCAACTGTACTGTATATAGCTGTTTTTATCACTTCTAATAAACACGAGAAAAAAAATACACACCAATGCATTCACAACCTCCTAGCTCAAAATTGTCTGAGCCATCTTTTTAACTACTTTACACTGCAGAATTTTATGAACTTTCCAAAGCCGTAATCAGATTTCAGATATGATAAAAAATTTTGATAAAATAGCAAAAAACTAATTCTCAAATGGTAAATTTTTTTCCCAATTATTTTTGTGCCTGTTTTATATCGATATAAATTATATTGCATCTTGTAGCCAACACTATAACAAAGAGAATAGTACTGAAAAAATTCATGTAAGTCTAGAAAATCATCCTCTTTCAGAGATTTTTTTCAAGACATCGTCACTATAACGAGGTTGCATAGTCTGATACAGTAATGGCTTTTGAAAACTTAAACACTTTCCCTGTATATATGAAAAAAATATTACATTACACAACTATCACTTCACTTCTCTAACACTAAAAAGGAATTATTTCAGGTAGTATGGTAAGCACTGTAATCCAGGAGGTGAGGCGGCCCGCACGGAGTTATGGAAATTTAAATGAACGTGGCTCACAGTCTGACTGCTGCGACAATGTTGCACATTTATCGTTCCGGTCTTCCCTTCCTATAGGGCTCGAGAGTTGCTAATTAATTTATTTAATAGAACTCACTTGCTACTACGACGCATTAAAATTTGAAACAATTCTGTTGAAAACGTAATTCTTGGCAAATTTGTTAGTTTGGTGACTTGAATCATGTCACCATGAAGTTGGTCTTATCAACCACAAAAACTTCAGTTGTAACTTTATCAATCCTTTCATTTATGATCCGGTGTTTCCCTTTTTTGTATCCACCTTCAATAACCTCAATGAAAACTATTGGCTGCCAGTAGTATGACACACACACTAACTAATTACACTGCTGTGAGAATAAGTTACGACATTATATGAGGCGTCTGGAGAAGCACAGATGAACTAACCAAAACATAGTTTTGAGTAAATGAGCATCAAAATTTTACAACTATAAAATCCCACAATGTCATCAAATATTAATAGAATTGGTTCAGTTATTTTGGTGTAGATTGTGTGCACGATGCAATGATAAACCCGATTGACTAATACATATTACAAATATTGAATAAAAAATATCTGTACTTGTATATTATAACACATGAAAAAGTTTTTACACAGACAAGTATACATATGTATAAACTTAAATGTTATACTATGGGAAACCCAAAAAATATAATAATATTGGTACAGTATGTACTTAAAAGCATAAGTGAGGCTTTTCCCTATACAGTACTTTGTATACTTCCACGATAGCCCTGAGGGACCAGGCAACACTTCAATGTCTAAGAGCTCATTTTCCAGTCACAAAATTCTGTTCCAAAAAAAAACAAATAAACAAAAAAAAGCACCTCTAAATGCATATCTATGTACAAAATATAATGTACAGGGAAATGTATGGATCAGCCAGTGTTTCCATTGGTTGCTCAGACACAGGTGAGGTGACGAGTCTGACTTTGTTACACTACCCTATACAGTATTTCAATGGCCAGATCGAAAGATAAATCTTGGGGAATTTTAACACAATATAAAATGGATTTCCGAGGGGGTGGCGAATTCATCTGTGCTACGCTAGATGTCCCATATCTAGTTAACAATTTTACTCCATTCACTAACATGAATCCATTCACCGCTGACTTACGCGCCAAGTGCAACAACCAATTTTCCCTCTAAGAAGCAGCAGCTGTGCAAGTCAAGCACATGCTACCCACTTTATTTTTCCAGTTGAGCATATCATCAGCAATGGTGCCATCTCTTTTTCATGCCAAATCAAGATCTTAGACAGTGTGGACCATTAATTATCCCTTGTTTTTCTAGTGTTTCTACTTCTTGCTTATCTGTGGTAACTTTAAAATAAATTTGTAAAGTGTTTTTGTCTCAACTGGCGGCACACATAGCCTTGACACTGGTGAACATAAAATTCATTCTGCTTTGTGATATACTGTACAAAATTAGAGGAAATCTTGGTAAAAAATGTTTGAACAGAAATTGGGAAACAACAGCGAAGTTCAAGTGGCCTTATCTCTAGCAAATACTGATTGAAAATGCTGTTGAGATATTGCAGGAACATACAGGATCAAGAAACTAAGTTTGGCTAAAATCCAGTGTTATTTACTTAAGTTACTGCATTCACAAAATAAGGCATCCAGTCACTGATATTAATATACAGGTACTGTAGTATTAAAACCATTAACAATATTAAAAACAAACATTTAACGGAAATGTATCCTTTTCCAGCTTTCTGATTTCCTACTCACAATCGAGTAGATGGTACAAAGACAAATGGATTTCTGTACTTACTTCTTCTCGACTTGGTATGGAGACAAGTGACACCTTTGCAGGTACATCCTTATCCTCAGCAATCCAATAAGCCAAAATATTGTCTGTCGGAGACCAGCTGAAATCTTTGATTCCCATGACCTTGATACTCTTCTTGTCTAGTAGACCAAATGACTGTAAGAAAAGAAAAAACTCATGTCATCAATATTCCTGTAATTATGAATTTAGAAATTGTGGACATTGAGGGTTTACTGCAGTATGTCAGGTTTAGGAGTTATAGCAAGTAGTGAGACAACAGCCTGAGGATGGAGTAGCAAGTAGTGAGACAACAGCCTAAGGATGGAGTAGCAAGTAGTGAGACAACAGCCTGAGGATGGAGTAGCAAGTAGTGAGACAACAGCCTAAGGATGGAGTAGCAAGTAGTGAGACAACAGCCTAAGGATGGAGTAGCAAGTAGTGAGACAACAGCCTAAGGATGGAGTAGCAAGTAGTGAGACAACAGCCTAAGGATGGAGTAGCAAGTAGTGAGACAACAGCCTAAGGATGGAATAGCAACTATTTGACTGGTCAGTGGTGATATGGGGAATGTTCAATGTGCTGTTTAGTTGCATTCATGGTGGTGAGAAAGTTGGTGAATGGTTGACATCTCTTTTACTTACCATTACAATTAGTTACAATTCATCAGTACGTACATTTATTTTTCATGTAATTTACTGTCATTTTACTATTGACGAAAATCTACAATCAAAACTTGAAACTTTTTTCTTCTTACTTTCTTGATAATTTATTATGAAGTAATAGGGAGCCCAATCTCTCAATGTGTCTGGTGTTAATTTTATCCCCTAGCTGGTTTTAAGAAAACTTATCATTAAGGTACAGTCATAGAAAAACTGTAGTGTCATTTCAGACATTATTTTTGTTCTATTTTATGTCAGCCATTTAGGCACTTTCTTACATCTGCAGCTATGAAGAAAACCCAATATACCTGTAATAATTTTTTAAATCAAATACACTGCTAGCTAATTAAACTAATAACCTAGTCATTTCAAATTGTTCCTCATGAAATATTCATTTATCAAAGTAGATAAAATAATGTTAGTCAACCTCACTTGATCCCTGTATAAATCTAAATTAATTTCAACACAGAGGACAGTTTGTCCTGTTTGTGTATTAGATTTACAGTATCAGACTCTCCTTGATATACAACCTCGTAAATTCCTCTATGCACCTTCTACTAATAATTTAACAAAGGCTATGCTCAATCCCTCCATGAACTCCTCTTGAAGGGAGTATTACAGTATATGAAGTGCAACTGCCATAAACATTTTGGTCATGGATTGCTTCTGCACCTACTGTATTATTTTAGAGTTCTGTGAGAAAATTCTAAGGGTTGGCCTATGTTTCCATGGGCGACTGAAACTTACCAATATACCACCATAAAGCAAATTTATATCAAGGAAAACATCACCAAAACTAAACTTACTGGAGTTTCATAAACACTAAGCATATCTTCACCAATTCTTGCAAAGTATTTGTCATCATTAGACCACTTGAATACTGGCCAAACTGGAGGCTTCTCTGCATTGAAGGCACGTTTCTTTTGGCCGGAGCGGACATCCCAAATGATTATGGATTGGGGCTCTTCAGACCTTTGGTCAACATGTTGGGAGAAGGTCACAATGTACCTTAAAAAGAAATAACAATTAGTTCCTGTTTAATTACATTATTTCATTAAAAATAAATATCTGTTTTTCAGAAAAGATTAAGCCTTGTGATCCAACATGTACTTTCGGGATATAGTTTTGTCATCATTAATTACTCAAAAGTTAGGCATTCACACATTAAACTCACTTTTCACATGGAGAGAAATCTATAAACTGGACACCTAGATGGCTGTACTTTTGAACTTGGTGAAATTCTTCCCCACCCCAAAGAGCAATACCTTTGCCATGGAAAGTGGCCAGGTAAGTTCCTCTCGGAGACCACCGAACATAAGTTTCTGTCCATCTCTGGAGATGAAAATTAAATAAAAAGAATAAATTGATGAAGTAAAATTACAATAGGCAATGGAAAGATTAGTTTCATACATACAGTATATGATAATTTTTTAAAACATTGAGGAAATTTTTAATACAGAAGAAATGCAATAAACCCATGCAATTTACCTCTCTCTTAGCAATTTCTACAGCTTCCGGAACAGAATTAAGGTAGATAGCAGTGGTTGTACCGCCATCACAGATAATTGAAAACTGGTCAAAGCAGTTTTCATCAAGTAGATAAAAGCTCATATTTCCCAGATCCTGAAAAATAGGGCAAATGTGTCTACAACCATCTTTAAGCCATAAACTAAACTTTACATGATAAATTGTTGCTTAAAAATCTAAATGTCCCTTTAAGGGGAACATAAATCCTAAATGATACATATAGAACTCTTGTCTATAGAAACTTGAGGGAGAGCCTGGCCTGTCTTACCCCTCAAAATAATCACCCTTGCCCTCTGAAGCTTCACCTCTTTTGTACTAAATAGCATCATAGGTAGTCCACTCGAGTGATCACATGCATCCACTTGTAAGATTTCTTAGAACAAATATCCAATTAATAACCACTTTTGAATGCCCCAAGATGCACGAAAAATGCTCATGTGTATGTGCCTATGGCGTGTGCATTTATCAACTACAGGAACCTCACTGCCCCTTGTCCAAATTATTTCCCCCTGCTCCCCTTTTCTTCCTAGCTTAAGGGTTTGACATGGAGTGCCACCCTCAAGCCTGAATTTAAAACCAGGCAAATTCTCACCATTGATAGCTATGACTAATCTAATGATCATATCAACACTGTCATTGCATCCATATTTATTAAGAGATATATCTTGAAGAAAAAGTTTTGACATGAAAATTGAAGTGTGAACTTTAAACAGACCATTGTCAAATGCTATAAAGAAATCTCTAAAACCTGACTAAACTCAGCCTAACATTCTTCCTGGTCTATTAGTGACATTGTCCTGTTAACTCCGTTTCCATACAAAGAGATAATGCTTCTGCTTCACATTTCTCACACTTGGGAAAATTTAAGGTTTGAGACACATATACTATGCCATGATCATAATTAGGCGAGTGCTGCCTTGATTTAATTTAAAATGCATGAGCAGTTTATTTTTGGCAATAATCCAATTTGACAGTTCTATGAGTAAGTTGTGGGCCAATACAACGGCAACTGGTTTTACAGTACACATACCTTGACCTATCTTTTGATAAAAATATTGTCCACCAGGCTCACAAGATGGGAATAATTCTCTGGCTGAGTGCACAAAGGGCCAATGTCAAAAAATGCCAATTTAGACATTGACCCATGAAACCTGGGTTACATGGGCCAAATTCTAAATTGGTATTTTTTCACGTTGACCCTATTTGCACTCAGCCAAAGAATTGGTATGAGGCTGAGACAGAATGTCAGGAGTTTTATTTCAAATGTCAGAAGGGGAGGGCTGACCTGAATTATTCTTACAGGGTGTGGGTCCTCACATAATATTCAATACTAGAGGTTATTGTGCACTTTCCTATATTCTCCTAGCAAGCCTTAAAGGGGATATGTTTGTAGTCTGCCTGATCAATCCTGAAGATTCCAAGATGGCAAGTAACAAGAGGCAATTACCACATGCACTCATTAACCTTCAGAGGCATATTTTTCTTTCAGATACAGTATCTCCTTAAAGAAATTTTGTTGCAAGTGGAAGGTATAACTTATCAATGTCAAAGATTCCTTGCTTTTAAACCCACAGACTTGATGGTGACACTATGTTAAGTTACTTAGTCTAAACTTGGTTATAATATGGGATTTCCAGGACCAATCCATCACTTGTAACGCTGAATGCCACTAAGAAATGCAGTACTGTACATGATAATATAATTGTATAATGCAAATCAAGGTAAAAATAAGTATTACTACACATACTTTGTATGGCTGAGGTGTTGGTGCAACAAATTCATCAGGAATGTTTTCATACTTGTCGAAATCAGTGAAAAGATTACAGAGGAAAGTATGCTGTTTGTCCAGTTTGTAGTTGTTACGTTGTCTCACAGCTTCTTCAGCAGCTGCACGATCCTTGAACTCAAGGAAGATGTATCTGTACATAAAAAGATTTTCATCTGAAAACAGCTGGAGTAGACCAACCTAACTACAACTACCAAATTACATGTAGTGATAAAGGCAATACTGTACCCTATACTCAAGTGGAATTTACTTTTTTACAATTTATTCAAAGACAGTGTAAGATATTGGAAATTGGCTGCTCTATATTAAATTTTTTTATATATACAGTATATATATATATATATATATTTGCATATTAACACATGATGAGAGAAAAAGCCTCAGTATAAGATACTTTATTTCAATAGAAAAAAGACTTGGAAAACTCACCCTTTTGTCTTGCCCTCCTCATTCATAGGGTAGAATTCATTGAGGAGGGTGCCATATTCTTTGAAGATTTTACGAACAACATTTTTCAGTTTCTCCAGCCTCTCAGCGCCAACTGACGGCACTCCATCAACTATGATAACAGACTCTACACCATCAGTTTCCTTCGGCTTTTGGCGTAACAAATCTCCGAGAAGTTCTGCAAGTAATTTATGGGTTAAATTTCAATTACTTTTGTACAATGAAAAATATGTCGGATGAAAGCAGTAGGTTTAAAACTATATATATTCTTTCTATAAATGGTATACAGTATTATACTGTACCTGTATTGTATACAGTGTACTACAAAATATTGTATACCAAAAATTAAGTTTTCCCATAAATTATGAAACCCCCAGTTAAAACTGGCACATGGAATTAAGCTCCCAACTGTAAATCAAAAGTACTGTACTGTAATGCACGTAAAACACAATAAATAAACTGGTATATACTGAACCCCAGTAAAATAGTGTAGGTTTCAAGTTTATGCAATAATGAAAAGCAGTTTACTAAATCAAGAGGTTAAAAAGAAGTTCAAAGGGTACAAAAGGTTCTGTACAGTGCTGTACTGGTATTTGCACTTCATTCAAAGATTATATTGAATCAAGTTACATTACCTTGGGTTGGGTGAGCCACATAAGCAGTGGTTATACATATTCAGTTCAGCTCGGCCTCATTTATTACTTTTGGATGAAACCTTTACCATGTCACCACCAGACGTCACACACCTCCCTACACAAAATTCCAACACAGACTCCTCTATTCAAACGGTGTCAACCTACAAAGGACGCCAAAACTTTCATGACGTCACGCCTCATAGGCTTTCTCATTGGTCGAAAACAGGCCTAAGGCCTTCACACTATTGGCTCGAAATTGGCGGGAAACTCCTGACATTGTTACAAGAGAGAGCGCGCAAGAGGAAAACTAGTTTATCATACTGCCATTTTGTGCATCACAAGGGTTATCAGAAATAGAACTCTTTATATAAACAAGAACTACATGTATTTTGTTTTTGTTTTCTTCCAGGAAATCATAATTCAAATCATCTGGACTGAATTTTTCAAGTGTAGTAGCCAGTGATTGCAGTCTATCTTAATTTTGAATAATTTATTTACACATGGAGTCATTTGTAATTTCATCAAGTTTCCTGGCACTCTCCAATAGCTGGAATGAATTTTGAACCTTCTGGGAAATTCTGGGAAAACTCTCTCCCCTTTCCATGCATGGGAGCGAGTTTCCGAGGATGAAATCATGTGCATTTTTTTTTTAGAAATCCTGTGAAAATCTGCCCATTGTCGGCATGGGAACAAATTTTCCTTGAGTTCTGAGAGATTGCCTCATGCTCTGATGCATCCTCACATTTCCCCATGTTCCAGGCACATGTGTAGGCTAGCTGATTGGGTAACTTAGGTCGTTGGCTTACATGTTTAGTTTGTATTCTGCTGCCATTGTATAAGGTTGTTCCCTTACTAGCTGCTGTTTACAATTGGTGTAGTGCAGTACTGTACTGTAGTACATAACTCTACCAGAGCACAATTAGCGATGAATAGCGTTATGACGTAAATGGTGGATACAGTGTACTGTACAGTACATCTCTGTACTGTAGGTACAGCAAACCCTTGATAACATGGCATTCGATATCTTGGAATTTCATATATTTCGGCAAGGATATAATCTCAGTTATTATTACAAAATAACTCAGGAAATAGCAATTTATATAAAATTATCTTGATGCATTTGGCCGCGTGGGTAATAATGACATCGTGATGCCGCACAGCTCTCCACGTTTGGGTCAGTCTGGTGCTTGTTATTGTTGTGGTCAGATGTGCACTGTCTGTCTCTCCACACTTTGTTCTCTGCCTCATCAAACATCACTGATATGGCATCTGCACCTTCAAGGAGCTATAGGAAGGGCACAAAGCGAAATTTGAGAAGCTACTATACGACATTTAACCCTTCAATATGTCTTCAAAGAGACCATGATGCAGAGAAAGTGGTGCTAGTGCTTCCAAGCATACCAGGGTAAGCACAAGTCACTATCTATCCAGGAAAAGGGTGAATTTCCATGGTCTGGCACCGGTCAGGTCCCGAGGGTGCCGGATTAGAGAGGTACAACCTGTATCTAGATCGTTACATAGATTATGAACAAGGGTGGGCCCAGTACTGACCCCTGGGGAACCCCACTGGTTACACAGCCCCACTCAGATTTAACACCATCTACACTGATCCTCTGCGTTCTATCGGTGAGCCATGATTTTATCCAATTTAAAACTTTCCCCTCGATACCATGAGCCTTAACTTTTCTCAGAAGCCTCTGATGCGGTACTCTGTCAAACGGTTTACTAAAGTCTAAGTAAATAACATCATAATTTTCGTCATTATCTACTACCTCGAAGACTTTCCTAAAAAAATCAGCATATTTGTTAGACAAGATTTTCCATTTGTAAACCCATGTTGAGAGTCGTAGATTAATTTGCTTTTCTCTAAATGCGATAGGATGCTATTTGCTACAATTGATTCAAGAAATTTCCCCACTACTGACGTCAAACTAATCCTTCTGGTGGTCACCCTCTTCTACACCTTTACCATACAGTAATAAAAATAACTAGCTCATGAGTTAGTTCCTATATATTAACCAAAAAACCGGCTGCAGGTAGTAAAATTGCAATTACAACAACCAACAAATCTGTGCTTGCTAATTTATACAATATAACCAAACTTAACCTTACCTAACTTCCTTATTATCAATTTAGAACAGAAGTGTAATATAAGAAAATTATCATAGAAAAACTAGTTCTAAAGATTGCGTGTAGTGAATTTCCGGAATTCTATGGTTGCTGTCTACTGCAATATTACCGAATTGTCAAAACTACCGATTGCAACTGTAAAATTTCCGAGATTTGTTTAGTGACAACTTTACCCAATAGATACCTGAATATTAATCAATTAACAAAATTGAACAACTATCCAACAAGGAGCGAACTCGCAACAATGGTTTTGAATTAGACAAATTTAGATTTAGGCGCGAAATAGGTAAACATTGGTTAGGAAATAGATTAGTAGATGAATGGAACAAGCTTCCAAATATCATCACTAACTCGAATACACTGGATAGCTTCAAACATAGGTTGGATGGAGTCGGTGCAGCGAAGAATGACAAAAATGATTCCGGGACTTAGAAACCTTCCATATCAGGATAGGTTAAAGAAACTAAACTTGCATTCCCTAAAAAGACAAAGAGTGCGGGAAGATATGATAGAAGTATTTAAGTGGGCGAAAGGAATCAATAAAGGCGATATAGATAAAGTTCTTATAATATCCGAGCAGGATAGGACTCGTAGTAACGGATTTAAGTTGGATAAGTTTAGGTTTAGAAGGGAGATAGGAAGGAACTGGTTCACAAATAGGGCGGTGAACGAGTGGAACAAGCTTAGCAACTTTGTAACGAGTGCTGGAACGCTGGAGAGTTTTAAACGGAGGCTAGAAAGATTCATGGATGACAGAGTGGTAGTAACTCTCGACAGGAGCTGCCATGCACAGGCCAACCGGCCTATTGCAGATTCCTTATGTTCTATGAGCAATAGGGGTTGGGTGTAAATGGGACTACCCAGTATGGGCCAATAGGCCCGTTGCAGTTTCCTCCATTCTTATGTTCTTATGGTAGCGGTGTTCTCATAAATTACCCCAAACAGCAGTTTCATTCATATAATCTTTTGTTTAACATAGCCACTCATCTTTCATCCACCAACCAAATCTGGTAAATTGTACCAATGATCAGAATAAGATATAAACGCTTACGCTAATATTCTGATTGCCAGGGATTACCACAATTCATGAATACGTACTCTAATGTACAGCGAAGTAAAATCAAACATGAAAAATTCACTCCAGCTGTCAAGGACTGGTGGTGCCGGTACGTTCCCCCCATTCTTCCATAGTTATCCAATAAGCCTAACACTAACCTTCCTCGGTGATTTCCTCAACGAAATCTTCAGGATCACTAAAATCTGGCTCCTCCTCTTCAGCGCCCCCGTCATCCTCGTTATCCAAGGTCTTAGGTTTGTTTTTCTTGGCCATCTTGGTGCGGGCCTCGCGTGGTGGCGGAAAGGGACAAATACTCTAAGGTTCCAACAATGTGGTGGACACAAACACATGGACACCTTACAATTGACGTCTATGATATATTTTCATCTTCAATAATATAATTTTAAACCCGACTAATTTATAATAAATATTATTATACATAAATGTTGTTTCAATGATATTAGGGTGGAATTTTCCTTGAAATTTTAGGTTTCTGTGTAATAATTTATTTGAAGGTGTATGATCTAACTGTAACTCCCATAGTGAAAGTTTATAATGTTCTCAACCACCAAAACACAATACTTTATATTAACTTAATGTATTTTGATTTAACACAATTATTATACCATAAATTTCGGACAAAATTCAGTTACAATTTGGTATAATAAACAGTACTAGTGTTGTACTGCGTGGATTCTTAAAACTTACCCAAGTACATTATTTTTAAGATAGATTTATAGAGAGAACTAAAATAAAAAAATGGCCTGTATTTAAAACCAGCTGTAGTTATATTATGCTAGACAAGACCTTAAAAATCCCACAACTAATTTGCACAAAAATGGAGGTCAGATTTGAGTAAAACACAAAAGAAAACTTATTCTCATACCAAAGGAACTAACCTACCTAAGCTAACCTGAGTTACAAGGAGGAGATAACTAAGTGAGGAGTACAACCTCTGGTAAAGAAGGCAACAAGACGGGGGCCTGAGGACAGCCAATGGACCAAAACACTTACTGGTTGACTTGTCTTACTCATTCTTGGATGTCTACAGTAATCCTGGAGCAGATGGCTAACACCAGAACACGCTTCCTTTCGTTCATTTTCTCCATAAGTTTTTTGGGTGATAGGAAGTAATAAAAATTATACTTTAATACAGAGAACCTAATAGAACCTGACCTACACAACCAAAGAAAACTACCTAACCTTACCTAACTTCCTAGCCAGAGGATGGACCTCCCACCATATTAATCAAAGGACTTACTTTGATATTTGGTACCAATAAAAGCAACTTTCTTGAAGCGGTATGGTGTAATTTTGTGGACCTGAGCAGACCAAGCGACCTGCTCTCAGTCCAAACATAATCAAAGAGCAGATGACAACACATGTGGACAGCAGGGTTTCGGTTGAATATTTTTGGAATATAATTAATTTTTTCATATACAAAGCACCTATAAACATCATTTTAATGTCATATGGTCAGTTTTTCACTGTTATACCTTGCAATATTCTTCATCCTTCATACACTGCCCACTACAGGTGATTTATGATCATGGATAGAGAAATAAAGAAAATAATAATAAATACTGTACTTATAATTCAAATAAAAAGTTCCCATTCCATTTTTATCACTTACAGTGATATCTCTGTTAGCCTGAACAATCGGTGCAGAGCACTTCTGGGAATGAGAGATTTCCGGGTAACAAGACGGAAAAAATTCCTTCATCCCCGGAATTTTCTGGATAAAGGAAAAATATTCTTGGTAGTTCTAGAAATTGCCCATTACATCATCTCTTAAACCCGGAAAAAACTCCCCATCCCAGAATTTTCCGGAGAATGTCCTTCGGAAAATTTTTCCCATTTTCTGGCTTTGGGAACGATTTTCTGAGAAAATTTCAATTCTGGCTATTGGAGAGTTCCAGGTTTGAGGGATTCTAGTTAATGGAGATATTACTTAGTATAATCTAAAGACTGGTCCCTGCACTTCGGCACCTCAACTACCCTGAGACATTGGAGCGTCTGAACTTGCCTAGTTTATACTGTAGGGGTATCGAGATATTAATGTTGTCTAGCACTCAGGATGGAAGGAAACTCTAATGTGGTTTTCTTGTATAATATATAAGTTATATGAAGACAGTCTGGTGCTGGAGATGCTGTGTGGTGGGGAGCTGCTCAGTAGAAGATGTTCGGTGAGTAGCGTGTTGAAGGAGGTGGATGTGCAGGAGCTTCGTTAGAGAAGATGTTGCCTGTTGCTGGCCTCCTGGTTGAATAAATGTTAACAGCTAGGAGCTTGCTGGAGGAGGTGTTGCTTGTTCAGGAAAATGGGCAGAATGAGAGTTGGTTGGTGAGGAAGCTCAGAGGACAGCTGGTGGGTCGCCATGCTCGCTGGCGGGAGCGAGGACCGCCAGGCAGGCGAGGAGAAGCGAAGGGCTGCCAGGCAGCGGCAGAGGAGGAGGTGTTGCTTGTTCATGTTGGGAAAACCCGAGAAGTCGCCGGTCTTTTGGCTCGGTTGCTAGGATACGGCGGGCATTGGAATGCGGATACGCTTGGTTGCTAGGGAGGCGGTAGCAGGTGGTGTGTAGCTACGCAGTTTGTAGGGGAGACGTCCACTACAATACTACAGACGGGCAAGGGGCGACCTAATTGAGGTGTATAAGCATCTCAAGGGGCACTACTCAGTCGAGTGTCCTTACTTTGAGCTGGCGGACGCTCACCCCACAAGAGGTCACAGCTCAAGATTGAAGAAGCCGCAAGTCCAGAAAACTGTGAGGGCAAACTTTTTCGGAGTGAGAATTGTGAACTCTTGGAACAATCTACCAGAAAGTGTTGTGACGGTATTGTGGATACTCTCCCCTACAACTGCTGACTGATCACTTGCCGTTCACTTACCAGCCAATCAGCAGCGAGTTTCACAATCTAGGCCTCACTCTCGGACTGCGCGGTGATTGGCCCGTTACCGCCTTCACCTCAGCCAATCAGCAGCGCCGCTCACTTTGCACATCTCAGGCTGATCCTGCAGAATTGAATAAATACTCCCCAGCCTACCCGTGAACATCATTCTACTCAATGCTCTCAAACCAACAAGAACTCTCAACAAGCTCCTCACCACACAGCTACTCCCTAGCACTGCACTGTACATACAATATATATATAGTTGTATACAGAAAATGCCATTGTGAGTTTCCTTTCTTACCTCCATCTTTAGTGCGAGATCTCCTACATGCACGTATGTATGTGAGCCTAACAAAGAGAAAATAGACAGACAGAGAAGTTTGACAACTGGTCACATACAGTACGCTACAACGGCACCAAGTGTGACCTCTTTCAAGACTAGACTTGACCAACACTGGAGCAGGTTCAGGTATATTCAGGAGCCGGTGCATGCCCAGTAGTTGCCAACAGTGTGTAACAGAGACGTGAACGATCGCCCAAGCGGCTAACAAGCCGATGAGTGGTGAAGAGGATAAAATTTAAAAAAAAGTAAGATTGCAGATCATATACCGTACTGTATCCTAAATAATCCCAACGGGGTGAAGAAACTGCACTATTTGAGACTGAATGTGAGAAGGACCTAGGTGACAATGAGGTGAAGTTTTCGGGCCATTGCGAGAAGAAGGTAAATCAAGCAAATAAATTATTCAGTCTTATAAGAAGGTCGTTCAGATATCTAGACAGTCCGTCCCTTGTAACGATTTTCAAGAGTGAAGTGCTTCCTCATCTGGAGTACTATCACCCCGTCTGGTCCCCGAGATGTGCTAGGGACTGTCAGCTGGTTGAAAATGTTCAAAGAAGGGCCACCAGACTGGTGCCTGCACTTCGGCACCTCAACTACCCTGAGTGATTGGAGTGCCTGAACTTGCCTAGCTTATACTACAGACAGGCAAGGGGTGACCTAATTGAGGTGTATAAGCATCTCAAGGGGCACTACTCAGTCGAGTATCCTTTCTTGGAGCTGGCGGATGCTCGTCCCACAAGGGGTCACAGCTCAAGATTGAAGAAGCCGCAAGTCCAGAAAACTGTGAGGGCAAACTTTTTCAAAGTGAGAGTAGTGAACTCTTGGAACAATCTGCCAGAAAGTGTTGTGACGGCACCGAGTGTGAGTTCTTTCAAGACTAGACTTGACCAACGCTGGAGCAGGTTCAGGTACATTCAGGAGCCGGTGCATGCACAGTACCTGCCAACAGTGCGTAACAGAGAGCCAGTACATGACTAGTACTTGTCAACAGTGCGTGACAGAAATGTGACCGATCGCCCAAGTGGCTAACGAGCTGATCAGTGGTGAAGAGGATAAAAGTAAAAGTAAAAAGAGTAAACACCGATCTAGTGCACTTGGAACCCTGTTTATACAAACTAAATGTCCATCTGTCATATATTCTATGGGTGAATTATTATTGCTGGTGAGTTCGAGTAACAATATACCGCTAAGAGAGACACTGGTTCCTTTAAATGTACTACACAGGAAAATCAAAACCATATGCTGTACATCATTCTTCACACTTAGACAATCATAGGTTGTATATAAATAAAAACAATATTGTAAAAACAGGTACAGTACTGTACAGGTATCTCATATTTTCTAATTTTGGATACAGTACAGTAATGTGCTAACTTTAAAATTTTTATGCACTTGTGCTGTTTTGCATTGTTAACTACAGTACTCCATTTATTATTTTTCTAATCCATCAAGTTAACCTCATCTTCTGGGCATGCTGTCTTTATTTTCACTTCTCCCAGACAGCATGTTAGACAGCTAAGGCATTGTGCAGATTTCCGTGTTAAGTACCTTATGCATTTCTTATGGAAATCTGATGGTAACAAATGAGGTGAAAAATATAAATTTGATTTAAACAAGATTTAGTAAGCAACTTCCTCATTTATAAATGCAAATTTATATTAAAAGAGTATTACTACCCTGTATACTTGCAACTGCATTGAGCAACAGGAATCAACATACATTCAGCACAATTAAAACAACACATTAATTTAATTTTACATACGTACATCATATTCACCACCATCATACAAAGTCAGTTTCATAGAATTCTAGAAAATGACTACCTCATAATACCAAAGAAACAAATGTTTTAAAATAATCAAACTTTATTTAAACTTTGATGTTCCATCATATGAACTTGACATCCATTTATTATTTTTGTCAAACATATAACTGCACACACAGTACTGTACTGTTAAGAATTGTCATGGAAAATTTCATATCCACTTCTACATAGATTTTGAATAAAATAATGAAGGGATTCCCCTTCCTTTTAAAATTACAAAAAAAGACTTTAAAAGCCTAAAAATAAACTGCTGTACCTGGAAGAG